GATAGCATACCTTGGCTCTCATGGCGGAGACAGGACGACGGTGTTACGATTTGTTTGAAGAAACCCTAATCGGCGATTTGACGATGAAACTACCAAAAGGTTAAAGCTAAGGAAAAACAGGCTTTATAACCGCACAGGGGGCACACACACATATCTCTGAAACCCTAGGGGAAGGGCATTAGGCCGACAAATATTTGGGCTTTATTGTTAGGCCCATCCGTCTGTAGGTTTAGACAATGGGCCCATTATGTTCCTTTTCTGTTTTGCATTAATTACAAGATACAACACAGTGACTGTTCATCTGTAGAATTTGTAATACGTTTGAAAAAACATTGCTAATTTCCTGTACGAATGATAACAACGTTAAAATCTAACGGATTATATCATCAAAAATCTAATGTGATATTATACTAACGGATTATGTTAAATTAACACTGTCGACGGGCTGAATAAAAAACATAAACATATATACACATAACACGCACATATACATATATATACACACATACATATATGTATATATTTGTATGATATTTCCCCTTTGGATATTGTAATTTCTCGTTGCTCCGGTGGCCCTGCACTTCGACCTATAACACACTAGAATCGCTTTATATACCGAGCCCTTCAATGATACACCCCATGAATTGATTCACTAGCGAGAAATCATAGATTCATTTGGGAAGGAGTATTCATCTATGTTTACGCAATCTTCTAGAAGATGTAAATGGACCGTAAATGGACCGTAAGAAAAGTGAAATTCTGGATTATCCAATAAAAAATCTAATAGATGAGATGTTAAAAGGTTTTGTTTTGGCACCATATTTAAATTAGATAGCACTCAAAATAACGTGCAATGCAAAGGGGTTGTGCGTATATGGAGAATCGTGTGCGTTACTGTGGTCAATGCCGAGCCTCAAGGAATATGGAGCATCATGACCAATAGTTATGTCTATAGTTTAGTTTTTTTTTTTTTTTATAACCAGGATGGTTCCTCGGGCCTTCGACCCAACTACATCCACCCTAGACTCGGAACCAGCCTTTGTATATGAACCATTTTAGTCCAGAAATTACATCCCTACCCACCAGTGGAATCGAACCCACGACCTTAAGGATGACTTTGTCACCTCTCCGCCACTAGGCCACCAACTGTTGGGTCTATAGTTTAGTTTGTTTCCAAATACCGATACCGATCAAAACTCACAGTCCATCGGTTAGGCAAATACATTAACGATAACATGTATCACAGTATAAACACGTTTAAGAAGAGATGCAACTATATATTATATGAATCAAATATCCCTTTCTATAACCTTTCTTCGTGTATGAAATTGAAAACTATACCATACTCAAATACACATAAAACATGCAGCGAGTTTTATGAGATATATGAATCTATGACCTTTAACCAATCGAGCTTTTAACCTCTAATAAGCTCCTAAACCAATAATTTCCAAGAAACCCGCTCACCGTTTATCAAAGGGAGGTATTTTATTGGCATCATATTAATCTTCTCTTCATGCAATCCCTGAAAATAAAAACAGGAGAAACTCTATTTTGCCCTATAAAGAATATCCTGAAATCCGCATGCAAGCCCCTCCAAAAGAACAATCTTGATGTCATGTCCCCGACAAACTCCGGAGGCCTGCCCTGAAATTTCCGGCTCACCACGCGTATATGTAGTAATATCGACGATGCAACAGTCAATGAAATTCTGACGGAATATTTAGAAACCCATCAAGACTTGCATCCATATAGTCCCAAATACTGCTCGGAGGGTACTCATCTTCGCCGGCAAACGGCCAAACCGCCGGAGAACCCGGTACGCCTATAAAACCCGGATCTATACCCGAAGTCACCGGGTCCACCGCATGCGATGGCTGAGCCACCGCCGATATCGGCAGGGACGAACCCACCGATCCAGCGAGAGAATTCCCATCCCCCACCGAATTGTTATGATTATTGCTACTGTTATTCTCAACACAAGAACCACCACCTTGCGCATGTCCTAACGGTAAGTTAACGCCGTTTGGGAGCTGAAACGACGCCGTGTGCCCGCCGGAGGATCCGACACAATCTCCGAAGTGAAAATTCTGATACTGTTGTTGTTGCTGAAGATGATGATATTGTAAACCAACTTGGAGAAACTGGTTCTGTTGCTGTTGTTGTAGCAGTTGTTGATGAGGAAAAACCAAACCTTGCGACAACATCGATGCTGCGTCATTAGGGCACAACAAAGCGGACCCACCAAGGAGAATATTCTGGTAATGGAAACCGTACGGACCAAACCCTCCAGCAGAGACGGGACCGGAGAATCCGGCGGGGCGAGGGAGGAGAGGCCTTAGGGTTTGCGTCGATGACGTGGCGGAGGAGGATGATGACGACGTGGTTGCGGAGGAAGATGACGTGGCGGCGGAGGGAGAGGAAGGGGTGAGGTTGAGCTGGGCGCGTGAGCCGTAGAGGAATAGAGCGGCTCGATCGTACGCTCGAGCTGCGTCCTCGGCGGTGGAGAAGGTGCCGAGCCACTTACGTGTCCGTTTACGTGGCTCTCGGATCTCGGCCACCCACTTGCCCCAGCTGCGTTGCCGGACGCCGCGGTACCGGAACTTGGCGTTGTCGGGGCCACCTTTGCCCTTGCGTTTGCGTTGCGCGTTGGCGCTGGCGCTGGCGGTGGAGTCGCTGGCTGTGCTACCGCTATCGGCGTTTTGGGTCTGGGACGTTAGGGTTTCCTTGCAGTCTGGGTTATTATCATCGTGTTGGGAAGGCAAAGGTTCCATTAGAGAGAGAGAGAAGGGAAAGAAAAAAAATACAAGAGCGAATCAAGAAGCGAAGTTCACTGCCCTAAGTTTGGATGTGGCCTTTGTGAATGGTCGATCAGGGCGGTGCTTTTTCTCTCTTTTATACACTCCACTCTTCCCTCTCCATTTTTACTCCCTCTCTCTTTTATTTTTACTCGTCCAATCAATTATTTATTACATTTCTATTATATGTAATTAATATCTGATGCATGTAATAGTTCCTAGTGGAATTTGGTTAGACTTCATATACATATCCTTGGCGATTAAAGTTTGTCTAACTTGTATATCATTCGTTCATTATTTCACCATCTAATATTTTAAATTGATTCATGGAATATATATATATATATATATATATACTGACAAACTTTTAAAGAATTACTGATCTGTTTATATATATGACTTCCCAGCGTGCTACCTTTCTTCATGTTTTTTTTTTTTGCCAGGAATATATGATTGGAATTGTACAAAATATAGTCACGAAAAAACATAATATAACGCTGTATAAGAAAGTATAAGGTTAGAACTTATATAAATAGTATATTATTGAGTATTGATAATGGAGCCAAATACCAAACGGTGGATGTGTTACAGATCGCTCGCTCGAGCCATAAGACATTGGCCGCTCTTGTGACCACCAGGAGAATGAAAACTCCCTCTCTGGATCGCTGATCGCAGTGGATGGCGTTGACCGTTGACCCTCTAAATCCCAGTGTTGATTTCTTTTATGTATATTATATATTTTTCTGTAAATTATTAATCCATCATTTTAAATTCTGTCTCTTGGATGCACATTTTTTTTTCTCTCTTTCTCATATTTTCTCTTTATTTTTACGGGTATACTGGAGCAAGAAGCGAAAATGCCTACAATTTTAGAGGAAAAAAAAATCCAACTATAAAGTTTTCAGTGTATCAATCTGAATCTATATATACCATCGATAGAGTATTTGGTTATCAATTTTGCATGATACTATATGTATAAGAAAAAATAGGAAACTTTACAATATTGTTTTAATTTCATTTAATTTTAAAATTTTACATTGTATTTTATAAGAATTAGATTAATTGATTATAATTGTGCAAATAATATAATCCTCAATAAGACTGCAGGCAGCTAATACTAACCAAAGTATATCATACAAAAGTTAGATTCAGTTTTAGAATCAATCGATATCATTGAGATACTATGAGAAGCTCACATGTAATATCCATTATTATAAATTCACATTCGAAAAAATTTACTTATATTTAAGAAAAAACAAAACTCACGAGTAAAGGTAGATACACGAAAATAAACATTTCTATATCTAGACATTTTGTGAAAGTTTATATTTAGACTAGCCTCGTATATATACACGAATACGAACCTATATATGGTTTGTCAGTTATTGTGTCATGTCATGCACATAAACGGCAGGATATCACGAGTTCGTTCATAACCAATATCAGCAGTATCCATGATAGCCAACACATATATATATAGTCAAGGATACGTACAATCACATATGTCGGTCCGACACACTTGTAATGTATTATCGAAATAAAATCTACTTTGTGGGTAAGAAATATCTAGAAGCATATATATATATATATATCCAATAATATATGACCTCCTTTTACTGGAAAACTATAATAAACTAATTTGCAGGCTGCAACCACTGGAGGAAGGTCGACCAGAGGAAGAGTGCGGAAGGGTTTTGGAATTTGTAAACATTTATTTATTTATTTATATCAAAACATTTTTTTTTGTCCCAAGTTTCCATTTTCGGAAAATACCTAGATTTGGTCCCCAAGACAAAACACTGTCCTTAATTGTGATTTTTTTAAAAAAACTGCTTATGTTAATGTTTCAAAGGTTATATGATTTTTCTGTCTAATAAAAACATCGCACAAACCGGTAACCTAATCACAAATAATCACCTTAGAAATATTTTTGGGGTAATCGGATATCCTAAATCAAAATTTAAACTAATTTCAGGATTGAGAATTAGTTATGTTTCCAAATTTGAGATTCAAATTCAGAAGAAGATAGACATTTTGCATTCCGTTTTAATAGTTTACATTGGAAATGGCTTTTTTGTTAAAGGACATTGGAAATGTTGTGTGAGTAAGAAGATATATGCATGTGAACATATAGAATTCCATTTTCCCATCTTTAATTTGTTCACACACTGATCATTCGCAATCAATATTTACAATGGGTGTTAAAAAAAAAAAAACTGAATCCACATGAAGGGAAATCAATTAATCATCTGACAGGAATATAAAAAATAGGAATTTTTTTTTTTGGGGAATTTTGCATGAGGGGGGGTGAGTTGTCCACGAAGGACATCGTCCACAAAGAACAAAAACTTTAAGAGAAGGGGGGGCGCCAACCATTGCCTCGTAACTCTCACCCTCTTTTGTGCATCCTCAGACACCAACTAGTTGCGCCATAACTTATTGCGTTTTATCCACATTTATATCATAATCATACACCTACCTCATATCATATGTGTGCATGTGTTTTGTATCTCTCTCTCTCTCTCTATATATATATATATGTGTGTGTGTGTGTGTGTTTCGTATCTTTAAGTTGTAAAAGAGGATTTGGTAAGTTATGACGTTAATTATTTTGGACTTTCGTTAATTATCAAATCGATATGGATATATGCGTATATATACATATATCCATCTTCTTCACTCACAAATTAACGTTCTTTGTTTGGTTTTTGCCTACCGAAATTGTGAAAAAGGCATTTCGCAAATGACAAATGGAAATAATTCTCCCCATGTTTTGTGTTTGTATTTTCTGATAAAAATTGATAATTGGCCATAGATATATTATCCGAATCAATAATGATTTATCTTAGATTATGATTTTTCTGTGGTTGCATGCCAACTGTACTGCATGGTTTTTTGGATAACTAATATTATTGAACTAGAAGATAAATGTTCATGTACCCAAAAACGGTGGGCTGCACATGTACGAGAATCATGAAGCTAGGAATAATATTCCACACGCGCACACACACACACACACATATATATATATATATATATATATACACACATCGGCATAACCAAGAAAATAGTGGAGTTATAATTTGAAAAGAGCTATGTGTATATATATCTAACAATTGTGTTCAACAATATTCTCATCGGCATAAAGATTCTCCGCATCTCCCGGTGGCTTTGCGACAAAATCCTCCTCCTGTCTCTGAGGAATCATATCTATATGCGTGTGTAACTAGATACACATATATATACGTTCAAGTGTGAGTGAGTGCGCCTGTATGGATAATTGTATATATATATATATATATATATATATATATTCCTGTGAAAGCCAACAGCACTCCTACGAAAATAAAAGGAGAATGAAATCAGGATTAGACACACATGGAATCGAAAAAACGATACCAAATGGGAAACAAAAAAAAAACAACAATACTAAAATGATCGTGAATCGAACAAATTTAAGCAAAATTTTTAAAGGTACATACAGGTACCAGATACGAGATTATCCTAATGCTGGTGAGAGACGTGGGGCTGTGGATTGTATGCGTTTATATATATATATAGTTTCGGGCTCGCCCTCTACTGGATATCAAGCCACAGAGAAACCCGTTTGGATTCGAAGTCTTTTTATGGTATTATAATGGGCCGTTCATGCCGGGTTCTCTTACAATAAGTTTGTGAAATTATTTTATATGCTTGGTGGGTTTCGGATGGCGATTTCCATGGCAATCGTGAGTTGATTATTGGACCGACATTTTACAATATTGATATTTCCAAGCAACATTATGTGCGGGTTTCAATTTTATACAAGCACATTAGTTGGTTTTTGTTTTAAAAAAATGGAGATCATAGAACTATATTTTACGAATGTATATCTATGATATATTTTTTAATAAAGGATGTAATATTAGAATAAAAAATCAAATTACATACTTTTACCCAAAAAAAATCAAATTAAATAAAATATAACGACATATAAATTGTGATACAATTTTTTATATTCTCGAATGAGCTCTATATTCCATTTATAATTTGTAGATTTGTACAAAAAAAAGGAAAAAAAAACGTGTAGGTCCAATCTTGTCATATCGTAAATCGTTCTGTAAATCACTTGCTAACCTGAAGGTAACTTCGAATAATATATTAAAACAATGAAATATAAAAAGTTAGATATTAATAATGTTTTGTGGACTAATATTTAACAGTCAAATTATTCGGTCCAGTCATTTATTTTTAATGATTTTTAACTTTTAATATGTATATATATATATATATATATATATATATGCAGGTTTTGAACAATACATCTACCATTGATTTGGATAAAAAAATCATTATATCATGATTACCTACCGTTCACTGGAGGTCGAAGGTGAATAATGAAAATTGCAATGTTTTAGGAAATGAAATAAAAGGAAGTAAATAAAGTCAAAGGTCAATCTAATCGAGTCAACGCATCAGGCGGTTCAAGATTTTTAAGAAAATTAATTAGCTCTTTAACTGTCAGGACTTGTCATAAGATTATCGTACGCGTTAACGGCGCTTGACGGAACGGCGACCATAACTTTAACGGCGTCGTTTTGGTCGGGAACCGGAAGCAGCAAACAGTACCGGTCACAACATACCGATCCAACGTGAACCGGTTTACCCAAACTGAAATCGAGCCGCTCTAAACCAAGCCTTGACCACTGCGACAGTATCAGGACCCCCACCGAGTCAGGACTCGCTCTCGCCTTGCTCACCGCTTCGACCACCGATTTTACGTACTCGTCGTCGACTCGTTCCTTGGCGCGTTTCACGAGCATCGTCGCGTGACCTAACCCCTTCTCCGTCAAATCTTTAACGGTGGTTTGCGCGCATCCGACAACGAACGCGTTACCGTAGAACCCGTTGGGTAGATTCGGTTTGACTCGGTCCCTTACGTTGATGCTGAAGAGAAGCTTCAGGGTCTGTTTCGAGGGAAGGTTCAGTGATCTCGCCCAGCTCCGCCATACATGCGCCGAGAGCACCTCAAATGACGTGGGTTTCAGCTCACTGAGTCGACTAGCGAGTTTCTTCAGCTCAACGAGTTGCTGTCTCGCGAAAACGACGCAAGTAGGGGCGAGTCGCTCGGCGGAAAAGCGGTTAAGAAACCCACACAAATCCGGGGCTCGGTTGAACTCGGGATGACTCAGTGAGTCACAACCCGGCGGAGGCGGTTTCCACGGGGACGGGTCGAGCAGGTGGCGATCCCACACGTGTTTCCGCTTCATCTCGGTGTGACACGGCCAGTTTCTGGATAGCTCGGCGAACAAGTTGAGAAACTCGGAGCTTCCGATACCGTCGGAGACGCAGTGGTTGATACCGAAGGCCAATGCAGCGCCGCCGTCTCGGAGCCACGTCAGCTGGACGACGAGGGGTGGGCCCCCCGCGAGGACATCGCCGACGTTGAGGGAGAGGAGCTTCCTCCAGCTGGTCACGTGCCTTGGGGCTCTCTGGAAGTCGTGGCACGTGAGGTTGTCGGAGACAGCTTCGAGGAACAGAGCACCTTGGCCACGGCAAAGAACTTCGAGACCCGACCCGTCAGATCTCTCTCGGACTCGGCCGGCGAAGGGAAAGTAAGGAACGAGGGAGCGAGAGAGAGCGGATTTGACCCGACCCGTGAGAGAAACCGGGTCAGAACCGGGTCGGGGACGGTAGACGAAAAGGTACTCGATGGTGAATCGAAGGAAGAGCTGAGAATCTAAGGCGGAAAGAGACAGAACAGAGGAAGGTGTCGGGTCTGAAGGAGTTACAACCGTGGCGTCCTTCACGTGAACAGAGGATCCCATGCTTTGTGCTCTGATTTTTTTCCGAGAAGCTGAAGAAGAAGAGAGAGAGAGAGAGAGACGTGGGGCTGTGGATTGTATGCGTTTGTATATATGTGTGCGTGTATATTCATGCACAGAAAGACCAGACAAGTAAGATTAATTTGTCTTTCCTTTCTTTTTTTTCCTTAAAATGTTTTTTCCTGCCATTGCTGTGTATGGTGCATGTATGTATATATACGTGTATGCGTTATCTGTTTGTATGTAATTTCCGTTTAAACGTGCCCTTGCTGATTTGGGGCTTTTGATCCTTTTATCTACCTACTTGACGTCTAATTTGTTCTTGAAAAAAGTGACGAGACCCATTTCATGCAATGTAGATATATGAAGCATGCCCTCTACTGACTCATGCAAATTAATGTTTAGTGGTCGAGCAAAGAGAAATTGCAATTTTCAGCAAAAGCAACACTTAACATGCCCTCCGACTTGAAATCAAATCAAATGTCTCATACATACATGCATATATGCATACAACATGCAACATGCATGCATACATTTAGAGACATACACACGTACAATTTGCAAAAATGTGATACAATTATAAATTTGCATGATATATGATAAAATATTTATCATAAACTCAATAACTAGTTTATCATTATTCTTGATATAGGAAAGTAGATTAATGAGATTGGTGGGTGGTCTATAAAAAAAAATGTGATGCGCTTTGTTGTCATTGGAATGGGGAAGTCTTGCATGTGTCTTTAACAGTGAAAGATTTGGTGCCAAGATTCTCGTGGCATAGCTTTATAGAACCAAGAGATTTTAAAAAATATATATTTACTTAGTAATAGAATATATGTATTGCCACAATTAAGTTGGATTTCAATAAAATTTTGAACCAAATATCTTTTTTAAAAGTCGATAAATACAAAAGAAGAAGAATAATTCGGAATTATACTAATCATAAATGTTTACTTATATATACACATACATGTAACTGACGTCTGACGGACGACAGTTTGGATACATTGAGATTTGAATGTTCAAATTATTCTACAAATAATGGTTATATAAATCAAAATCAGAGGAACTTTGTTTTATATATATATATAGATTTGCTGTGTGGTCAATTTTCGTATGGACCCAGAAATATTTGAATTTCATATAATAAAACGTGGTAGGATTTTGTTTTCTTATGAAAGCTGGATATTTTACCTGATTTAAAGTAAACAAAATAATTTTATAATGGTGATAAAAATAGTAAAAACATCGGACCTTTTGTATCTTTCAGCGTTCACATTCTGTGGGCAATCATCGAGTCGACTCAGTCCAATGCGATACTAGTTATACACCAGTGATTTTTTTTTTTAATAAAAGAGAGATCATTTAAAATATTAACTTTAAGCGGTATTTTTTTTTTCTTTTTATACTTATTTTCAGATTTTTATATTTGATTTTTTTTTTATAAATCTATTACGTTTTATTTTTATTATATAAAAAAAATGAACAAATTGATTAGTTAAGAAAGGTACTTTTGTTTTTGTACAAAATAGGTGGGATTGATCCGATATTCTTTTTCTGAAAAGAAATTTGGAAGATATGGAAAGATTTTGTATTATTTTTTTTTTTTGAAAAAAAGGAGAAGATGCTGCTTTTCTTGAGAAGATGGATGTAATGGAAGGGACACACTAAAGTGTGTTTGTGCAAGTTACTACACTTGTTTCATAGTTGCACGACATGTGAATGGTTTTGTACTATAACTTCTCTCTCTCTCTCTCTCTCTCTCTAGGGAGAGACTGAGGGCAGCTCGTGTACTTGGCCGATACACGGAAACATCTGCAAAACCCAAGAAGCCCGAAATGGGAAGCAAATTGTTGGATGCAATGAAGGAGAGTGACAAGAAAGCGAGGAAGAAACCGGGTCTTCCAGAGGCACCCACCAACTTGTTCGATGATAGCAAGAGAGGATTGCCCAAAGGCTTCACCTTTCAGTTCCCCGGCGGCAACGACATTCTTGTAATCGCTTTCTCCTTCGTTTTGATTAGCACTGTAAATTATGTTTTCTATACACATTGGGGGGTTTGAGGAACTTTTTAATGTGGAATTTTGTAATTTAACATGAAGAAATATAATTCCATGATGGAATATATTCAATAGAACGAGTGGTATTACCCTAGATCATAAAGTAGATTTATGCGATATTAATTGCAATGAAAATTTGATGAAAATGTTTACACCATAATATTTGGGGGTGATATAGAAGGATTAATTTTTGATCCACTTAAAACATGATGTAGAAATTATATGTAGCGAATATCATATAATAGATCATTGTGCAAAATATAAATTGAACCGTAAACTAGTATTTATGAATTGTCATTTAAATTGATATGAAATTGTGAGATCTCTTAAACCTTGAAGGCTTGAACAATTCACAACAATGGTGGTATAATTGTTAGGACCCAAAATGTAAAAACTCGATTTATTATTTTTTTTTCTATTTGATATTATCACAAAATTTGACATTATCTTAAAATATTGGATCATGTATGAAGTTTAATTAACTTCTAAATACTCATGCTTTATAGGAAGAATAAAAATTTCCAATACACACACACACACACCAAAAGTTATCGTGGAACGTGAATGTATATAATCATAATTACCTATAAAGGTATAGAATTGTTGTTGTGTATGATGAAAATGGAATCAAAGAGGGGAAACCATTTTCGTACGATTGTAAGACCAAATATCGTGGAAATGATCATGTTGTCCTAAAAGATTGTACTATATATATAAGGACAAGTTTTATTTGTCAATCCAGAAATAAATTATGAGTTTAATTGAAATATATGTAAAAATATGGAAATCTTGATGGTTGGTTTTGAAAAATTAGGGCAAAATGGAATGGGTGGAAGAAGTGTGACAAGTGTGGAAGGAAGACTCGTGCTTTGTCGGGGCCTATCCATGGACCCAACACCGGACATAATAGGTTGGTATAATTGCTTCGCATTTAATCTATAACCAATGAAATTCATACTTTATTTAATTATATAAATAAAAAACCGGTGTGTTAAATTCTCAAAACTTTCTTAATTCAATTGGTCGACCGAATTGTATAATATAAGCAAAGATAACTTATGAATAAATTCCATAAATTCCATTATTTTGCATCTGTATAATATATGTCTTTAATGTGTATGTACTTATGGAATAGTTGATTAGAACATACAAATTCATAATATATATATGTATCATAAACTATGATTTTATTGAGAGTTTCATAGATGCCAAGTTGATGGCCTTCTTTATCCTAACATAAAATTAATCAGCTTAATTAAGGCCATGCACATATGTCATCTCCAACATTTGCCCCATTTCATGTAAATCAATAGCGTGTGTGTGTGTATATATATCATGGATCAAATCTATATATATAAAATCATTTAATTTATTTGAAAGAAATTAGGAAATAGTAGTAGGCGTGCGAAGTGGGATTGAAAATTTGGAGGAGAGGTGAGTGAGGATATGATGATTTAAGAAGATAGAGAGGCATCAAAACATATATATGCCTTTATTCCAACACTATATCCGATAGGTACGTGCCACAATGCCATACGTATACATGTCGCCCAAAAAAGGAATTATCTTTGTGATTTCGGTTCACTCTATGCAAATATTGGGGCCTCACAAGATTTGGTGGTCACTAGACTCGGCCATATATATATATATATATTCCTTTTCCTTTTTGGTTGTCTCCTCTAACGTTATCTTCTTCCATTAATTTCATTTGAAAAAAAAAAATGCATATGAAATATACTTTTCTTTGTTAGGATCTTATGTCTACCAAAAAACGGGTTCGGTAGATATCTTACAAAATTTATAGCCATGCTTAATTATACATACATATATATATATATATATATATGTCACAATAATGAGTGCGAATATAGATTTGGGATGAAATGTGGATTGGTCAATACTAGGAAGGAAGGCACATTTGTATGTGTGGGAGAGAAGATCCAATGCGAGGAAATATAAAGATAAAGACAAATATCATTGTCGGGGAGTAATTTACGTCATGTGCGATCTATCAACACGAAATTTCCAAACAAAAGGGGTAGGCCATCCTATGTTCTTGAAATCATCTTTCTTTCTTTCTTTTTTTCCTTTTAAATTTCTCCCTTATTTAATTATATATATATTACAGATGTTGAAAAGAGATGGACCAACAATGATAATTAACATTGTTTGTAGGTTTTTCTTAGGAAACAGAAGAAAAATGCTAGAAAGAAAGAAATATATCACTTGGACGTGATTTTTTGTTGTTGTTAGAAAAAACGTAATAAGTGTAACAACTTTGCACATATAGTCACATGTGAAATCACGGGACGTGAAGATTCCTTCGAGGTCATCAAAGCAGTGAAAAACAAACGAGGGTGAGAATAGTAATAAAGACAAAGACTGGAAATGCAACCTACGCATGTTCCCAACTTCTCGCTTGAAAATCACACATAGAGCTTTAATTATATATATATATATATATATATACACACACAACCATATATATATATTTACACAAAAATGTGTGTACATACATATACGCATAATGCATATATGTCTGTGTGTAGGCACTAGGCATGTGTTGTCGTGCAATACGTATATATCAACAGTGTACGTATGCATGTGTACATACATACATGAAAGATTCGGGCGTCGAAATCTAAAAGCATGTCACGGGCCTCTTAATTTAATTAGTACGCTTCATTATTTGATACAAAGGGCATCTGTACAGTTTTGATATTCAAGATGAAAGATGGAATTTGTCTGTTTCTGACCAAAGCTTTCAATGGATCGACACATGGTCGGCAATATATGGAATTTTTGCATGGTTAATATTTTCTTCGCGCGTGTCTCAATATATTAGTAAATAGGATAAGCATAGAAATAATTTTAATTTATAATAATTAAAACAGATGTGCATCTTTTAATTAAACACCCGTTATTATTGTTATTTTTATTTTTATTGATGATGTGATATAAGCATTATCTTCATATATTTTTTTTACACCTCTTTGTTATTTGCTTTTCCTTCACAAACACTTGAATACAAGTCTTTTCACCGAAAAGAAAAAGAGGAGATAATCTTTAAAGTTGAATCTTATTCCCAAACCATATCTTGTTAAAAAAAAATTTGTTAGTGATTCACCGAATTTACGTATAGTATTGCCAGTGAGTAACTTATAAGATCCAAACAAAACATATACCTATTTTTTCCAATATGTCCATAGAAATCTCAACTTTATATATATATAATACGTATAAACTTTAGTTAATTTTATCTTGACTAATTACATATTCCATGAATTTATCAATTTAAATACATTAATGAATAATATCGTAATTGAATGGATGCATTTATAATAAAATTGCGATTCAAGATTAAGTTAATTAAACTGTCTATATAAATATAATAAATGATTGTACGTATTTTGATTCTTTTTTTCTCATGTATAACGCGCTGAGTATACCGTAATTTAGGGATACTCCGGTCTTATTTTGCGCCACGTCATTAACTAGTGGGGGATATGATATAATTAATTACTCTCGGATTATGTGCCTAAAACTCAAGGTGAAGGCCATTATATTGTAGCCTAAACAATATAAAGCCCAATTACCCTTGATTGTATCGTCTACCTGCAGGTGTACTGTTCCATGGATGTACCACCGGAAATAGAAACATTATTTTTCTTTCTTTTTTCTGTAACGTTACAGGTGATTAAGGGGGTAAGGAATGTGATGGTAACTATCTATCTATCTATCAATCTATTTATCTATCAATCTATCTATGTTACAAAAGATTATTAGAAATCTAGGTTAAACTTGAGTTTAACCAAAGATATCTCTATCTATAAACACAATCAATCAATCAATCAATCAATCATAGTGGGAGATTGGCAAAGATGAGAGTAATGAGGTTTTTTTTACCTTTAGGGTTTAGGGGTGGGGGTTAAGTTCTTGTCTGAATGAAATATGAAGGCTCTGCTTGTTCAATCTGGACGTGGGTTCCTTTCAGTTGGTATTTCCAGTACCAGGTTCCTGTCTCCATCAGCTCTTGCTTGATGGGTTCCAAGTCTATGTTTAGTCCTGGATAAAAGCCTAATGAGAATGTGTACTGAACTGAATAATAGATTCATCCCAGGTGAGGTTGTGTTCTTCTATCTCAGCTGATGATGTGTTTATTCATTATAGTCATGATGTACTTACTGTTCTTGTCACTGTTACTAGTGTCATTATCTGAAGCAAATGTGTGTTGGAAACCACTGACCTGAATTTCCTGGTGTTATCTTCAGTCTGTGGCTGTCGGGGACTTCAAAAACATGACCTCCCTGCATCATTGGAAGGGAAAAAAAAATACATGAGACTGACGTGAAGATCATCATCATTTGTAGCAAATCCTCTTACCTGTATGGTCACATTGACAGCTTCAAATTCGGCATTTCCATGCAATACAATTTTACATGTCTCAAGCCGACACACCTCATGTTTCCAATACACGTTTGCCTCACAATTCCAGTCGATTCCTCTGTTCACTACCTTGACATTGTGCAACTTACATTTCCCACACCTACAAAAGTTGAATCACTGGTGAATCTGCTGCGTTGGATCCATGCAAGTATCATACAAAAGGAATTGAGATTGATATAAGAGAAACTTGTTTTTTTACCTCTGCCCATATTGTAATATCGGTTCTTCATTTTCGTCGATTCTTGTCGAGCCCATAGCATTTTCGGCTCTGATGATCAGACTACCATCGACCTGTATGGCAGAAAAACAGATCAGCAATGAAAATCGGATTGACAGATTATTGACATTGCTCAACATTGTGGTAGGAATAAGGGTACCTCAACATTGCTCCATGAGAACTCTGCAATTTCTAGTTGCAGTTCTGAGCACTTGGAAATTGACCCTCCACTAAACTGTCGCAATGACAACCATAGATTAAGAGAAAAGAACGCACTATAGTTTGGGAACGGAAGAGAAGATTATTGACTCACTTTCTGTCTGGAAACTTCCCAAAGAGGACCAAGAGCGGGATGCAGAAATATAAGATATGGAGGTGGGGAATCCACATATTTATCATTATCCCCAATCTGAGAGAAATGAAAAGACAGAAGCATGGCTTCATTTTTCCGTTAATGAAGACCCTGAACAACGCAACATAGCAGAGGTTTTAGGTTTTGCTAAACAAATGCGAGAGCTAACCTTGGGAAGTTCGATATCACATTGTGTAAGGAGGTCATACGCATTCCGGAGAACATCCAACAATGCACCATCTGGAGTCTGCAAGACAGATCGAATCAAATCAAGATCCACCCATCATGATTTTGAGGCAAAGCTTGAATTATAAGACAAATTTATCAACCGGCTCTTAAACATGCCAACATGAGGCAGAAAAGGAAACAAAAAACAGAGACTAAGAAGATGTTTCAAAGAAAGATAACCTGGTGTAGTTCAGCACTTGCGTTCTTTCTCTTCTTCTTGGCTGATGATGTGACCCGTCTTCTTTCATTATACACGATAAATGTATCCAGCTTGTCTGCAAAAATCATATCAAGACTAATAATACAAAACCTCAAGGCAGACGTAAACCAACATAATAACATTCAAGTAACTCCACCTTCTATACTGTCATAGCATCTAGATGAAAATGCATTAGAAAAGTAATCCGCAATATTTTGCATCGTACATTCCAGTCTACCCCCGGAAACACTGCAAGATACAAGATTATCGAATTTGTCAGTGATGCTAGCCAAACCTGGATTCAAATATCATAAAATGCAAAAGTGCAGGTGAAGAGTCCATAAAAAAATTTGCGAGTGAAGAAATCAGTATTAACTCATTATCTTTCATTGTAGCTGTTGGCAACAATCTCAATCCAATAAAGGCATCTATCAGAAGCAAAACATCACAGCAAGATTGATGAGATTAAATGGTAAAACAAGGAAGAGCAGAAGTGAATTACCTTTGGAAATCTCCATACTGATTGACATACTCAATTTGCTTCTTTGTATTAAGAACCATATTCGGCAAACTTTTTGCATTATTTCTTGCTCCAACTAATTCGGCGGAAAGTAAGTCCACATATAGAATGTTTGTGTTGGCAGGGAAATCAGCCTGCAAACTTAAGAAAGGAAAGAACGAAAAGAGACATGAGAAAATTCTGGCATCCAGAGCTTAAAAATCAGGGAGAGCTATCAAGGAGACTTGCACTAAAGAAAAGGATAGAATTAGCTGGAGAACAAGAAAATTATGAACAACGCTAGAGATAGATAACCAAAGAGGATACAAAATTACAAGATAACTTAGTATAAAAGTCATTTCTCTGGCTGAAAGAGAGATATGGAGATATCTGTGAAACAAACAAATGCTTTTTTAGCATCAATGAACTCAATGAGTAAAGAACCCGTACCCATTTGAAGACAATGGTTTGCCGGAGATTCCAAATTTATCAAACTCAGTATACTCAATGCATGATATACCATATTCCCACTTCCCATCTAAATTCTTCTTCTCCATCAACACATTAATTCCTTCAGTTGCTCCAGAATTCCTTTTACAGGATGCAAAACCAAGTTTCTGTCACATTAACATTAAGAAATAAATGTTTTGATAATAAACTGCGAGAAGAAAAGGAACTGTTAAAAAGGGTATGTAATTACATAAAGACATGTAAGTCTATACTTAACTGCATAAATTCTTAAACGTATGTAGTTATGAAAGCATAACCATGCTTAAGTAGACAGATGACTCTCAAAATGTAATAAACGAACTTCAATTCTTTAAACCTTGGGCATACAATGAATAGTTTAAATTCCAATTCTTTAAGCCTTTGAATGTCGTTCATACTTCTAAGTTTACTTATACATCATATGCTCTCAAGGAACTCGGTGAATGATATTGTCTTCGAGTGCAGCTAAATATTTGCAGGCAAGGCAACAATAGATGGAAGCATCCTAGTCGCAAAAGCAAGCAACTAATGTTGTGTTAAGTATGCAGGCATTACCTTTTGGTGCCGTAATCCAATCCCAGCCAGTGCCAAGAGGGTCAAATCTGTGGCAGCCACAACGTTACTGCATTATCACAATTATTAGTACAACCTTCAGGTATTGTTGGACATGATTCGATCTCAATTATGGTACTAGAATGTTTCAAGTAGCTAACCTAACTTGTCGAACAGTTGCTCCTTTTCTTCCATGAGCATAAAACCAATCAAAAACACCTTTGTCATAAGCCAATTTCCAAATGACTCCATGGCCACCAGGTTTGCTAACCGGCACAAATGGCTCTGATATTATCCATTTACCATCGTCAGCTCTGACAGCTGGGACGAGAGGCTAGATATCATATATCAAATTTTAGTTGTAAGTAAACCATCCTAGCAACGAAAATGAACAGAAATCGCACAACACGTACTCTTCTTGTACCTGTTCAAAGAGTAGGAAATTTGATTGACCTCTTCCAAACCATCCGAGCCTTCTACAAAGCGAAGTTACATGTTCATGGTTGTTCTTTGCAGGACTTGTCATAATTGCAACTGGCGTGATGCATTGCTTTCCAAAAAGTTTGAAGTAGAGGAACTCTCTAGCCTAGAAATGGCACAAATGATGCACATAGACTCAGTAAAAGGCATAGGCAAACACCCTTTTCCATCACCCAAAACATAAAACTAAAACATTGATCGTTTAACTCCATGGATTTAAGTGTCACACTATACCAGAAGACCTCTGATAAGGCCCTCTAACAAAGTCTGCCCACAATAATTAAGCAATGCCGCAGGAAGGCATTCACCTGTTTCTGGATCAACCAAGCCTAGTCTGTCTGCTGCACCTCCTAGTGGATATATTTCACCCAAGTCTGGCAATCCCTAGAAAGTATAATAAGTTAATAACTTATTATCCAGAAAGCAAGCACAAGACTTTCCAGTTGTTAAAAGGAAAACAGTCTCATACGAACCTCAATTCCCCAAAGTGCCGCCTGAGAAGCATACTCTTTCTTCTGGGTAAGGTCAAGGACGTTAGGAAGGTGTATTTCTAAATACTGCCCATCCAAAGATTCTTCCACAAAATGTGATCGATTAGTAATCTGCCTCCTAGTCGCTTGTTGAAGGAGTTCCAGAACCATAATCTGATATCTGACACAACCACACATGTCTTAGCAGGGGAAAAACAACCAGAAAGGCAAATTTGTTGCACATATCAGGTGACGAAACAAAAAGATAGCCTCCGTGAGTTCACAAAGTCCAACTACATTGCACTGCCAGAATTCAAGTCTACAAACCTATTTCCATTCAGCACCCAGAATAATTACTTAAACAAACACCACAAAATCAATGACACTAGAGCAACTCAATCATGGCATAATGAGTCTCAACCCATTTCCTGGGCTCTTCCCTTTTCCTTTTCTCCAAGAGCGTGAGAAAGGATCTCCCAGCGTTTCATTGTGAAGCAATCAAGAATCATTTCCATGCCTAAGGTTTCATATCCGAACAGCTCATCCCTTCTATATTAACTTCATTCCTTTCAATGCAATGCAATTTAAAATAATCGTGAAGCAAAAGTGATTCTCATTAGTTCCTTCTTTCATGTTCAAAGCATTCAAGTTAACAAAAGAGAAGAACAGAGAAATTTTACCCGATAATTCCTCCAATGCAGTCATAGAACTGTTCAATTTCTTCAAGAAACTTCAAGAACTTCCTCAAGTGACCAACCTCCTCGGCACTTAGCGCCAAACCATGTTCTCTTCTACCTTCGACGTCATTGCTGTTAACGTCGAATCTTTCTATCATCTCCACCAACGCGTAAAGCGCGTTCTTCATCGAACTTCTAGCCGAGGACTCCTCCCTTTCCACAAACGCTTCCTCGTACCCTAGAGAGAACGCGTGTTCTTGTCCCGCCGCGACCAAACATTTGACAACGAACATCTCGCTCGAAGTCAATCCAATCGAACCCAAAACCTCAGCGAAACCGCCGCGATTCTCGGTGAAGAATCGATGGACTCTGGGATCGGCGTTGACGACGGCATCCTTGTGCTGCATTTCCCTCGAAACGGCTAGTTTCGAGCGGAGAGCTTTTAGCCGAGCGATCTCCGACAGGAAATCGTCGGGTTCCGGAGGAGTCGGAGCGGCGCGCTCCACCGGCGCCGTCGTCACGCGTGTCACCTGGTAAGAACATTTCCGGTCCCTGAGCGGAAACTCCAAAGAAGAGGGGAGATAGAGAAGAGGCTTGTTGGGATGGAAACAAGAGGAGGAGGAGGGACGAGAGAAGAGCAAGACCTTGTGGTAATGGTGATGGAGGAAAGGAGAAGCATGAGGTTTGGCCATGGCGAAGGAAAGGAGTGAGAGAGAAGAAGGGGAAGAGATTCCCCGAGGAGGGACAAGAGGAGATTACTGGAAGCATGTACCTTCCTGAAGAAGAAGAAGAGTCTTTCCGTATGTGGATGCCGATATGTGACTCTCATGCGATTTGATCTTTAATCCAACGGTTCAGATTGCCCCGCTTGGATTACACGAAGTCTTCCATGATAATCCAAATTATTAATTAATTGTCATTTGGTCCAAAAAGAAATTCAAATTCATGTTGTAATGTACGTATTAAAAGTAACAACAAATTACCGACATACCCTTTTCCGGCGAAACCACCGTCCACCGGCAAGATTTTCCGATGAAACTCTCGGCCGGAAGATTCTCCGAAAGGCCAACTCAGCGGTCAGCACCGACATCGACACCGCGGTCAAAACCGTTGACTTATTCACCGGATGGCGAGCTTGTTAGTATATATAGTGGGCCAGTTTTGTTCAATGAAGATGGGCCTTGGCCCATAAGCTTACTGCTTTCTCGTTGGCCCTATTACATCATCTTACAATTCTTTTGTAAAACATCCATTTCATATATACAGATCAAAAGGATACAATACATCATTTATCAAGGTGCTTTATAGTAACAAGATATTATTAGGAGACCCGGCGGCGAAAACAATAACACGTGTGTACGTAACACAAACAAACAAATGAACATTATGCAAATTTCGATTTTCCATGAAAAAAACGGAAATTTATATTAGCAAAATGGGAAATCCGAGGTGATAAGAATATTTATTAATATGTGAAAAACAAATGATTCAATTGTCTGTCGACAATATCAAGACATATCTACATGTGTCTCTAAGTACATCTGTCTGCCTTTTTTTGTTCCTTTCGCTCTCCATCCTTTTTTTTTTAATTAAAGATATATATATTCATTCCGTACACACACGCATGTATATTCATGTGTATCAGTGTGTGTATATATTCGATTGCTATATACAAAATGCAATATAAGGTAAGATGTTGACTCGATTGCTATATACATGGATCAATCCGTTGTATATCATCACATAAAGCAATGCCGTATATATACGATGCCATTAGAACGGAATAGTACAGTATATGTTATTAAAACTTGAAAACATTTGCAGAATAAGACAGCCATAATGAACGTATACCATCGTACACGAAAAATGACAACAATACAATATAATATATATATAGAAAACAACAAAATAAGCATTATTGACACTGAACGGTCCATCGAATGAAATAATTCTCAAATCAAAATCTCAATTTCGAGGAAAGAAAAAACAATGTTAAAATGCTTAGGATGCAAGCTCGGGAACCATGGTTTTGAAACTCTCACAACATGACACTATCCTGCAACGTGCGATGTCTAGTAATTCGCAAACAATTTATTTACTAATCACAAGCAAACGTATATTACTCTGAAATTATAGTAAAATCAAGGAAAATAATAATACTTAACGAGGAAAAAAGATAATATTTTTATTTACGTGAAAAATGTCGCTAGAGTAATTAACTTGTTACCTTATTGGTCGACTTGTCACAGTATGCAATGAATTATACAATATAAAGCTCTCTTAGTTTCCATCAACAAGTACCTCAAGATCTCACTTAGAATACGTATATATATGAATGTGTGTATATATATATATATTTATATTCACAAAGTGAGATCAAGGGTACTTGCCGAAACCGAAACCTTTCTCTTATCATCTTCCTCCGTCGTCATGGACAGACCGAGTTTTGACGAACAGGAAGAAGATAACGAAAGAGACAAACTCTTGCAGTCTTGACGATCTTGTTCATGTTCTTGGCCGTGATCTAGTAAGCATCCTCGTCCGGTTCTCGCGTCGGTCTGAGGGCTTACCTTAAGGGATAAGCTTAGATCCAAACCTTGGTACGATTTCTGGTCATAATCCTCCGAAGGAAAAAATCTTTTTCTCTTCAGAATGTTTCTTGATCCTTCGGCCGCTTGGTCTGGATCATATGTGGTGAACAATGGATCGGATACGCACCTTACCCACGATTCGTTAAACGTCCTCAGATCTTCGAGAATGCTTCTACGGCTTCTGTGATCGGCTTCTGCTTCTCCATTGTTTGAATTAAAACCCTTATTCTTATTAGTTGCGCAAGATTCAAACCGAAACGAAATAGTTTTGTTGGTCCTATCACCGATATTACTGCTTCCATGAAATGCCTGTCCTGACCTTGCGTTGTCCCTCGAGGTTAGTCCTCTCCAGCGGTTACCGTAGATCTTCGGTCTATGGTCGGACCACCAAGATGTGTCACCGTATCTAGTCCAATTCAAAACATATCATATGCATAAAGATCAAAGAAAGGGAATAAAATGGAAATCTTTTGGATAAGATTGTGTTACCATACCCTAGACTAGTAGAAGTCCTTTGATCAAAACTTTGTAACATTGGAACTTGGGTAAGGTTGCAAGTATAGCCAGTTCCGGTTTCAAAGGAAAATCCTTGTTGTCCTGATGAAGGCATGAAGAGAAAAATGAAAATTCAATATTATAAGATCCATGGATACCCCTAATTATTCAGAATCTTGTGAGTGAGTTACCTTGATTATGTTCATCGCTCTTCTTGCTTCTATACATCTAGCAACAACAACAAAAAAATCCAACCAAAAGAAAAGGGCAAAATGATTTTAGGATAAAGCTTTTGAAATTGCGTAGAGAACATCTTTTATGTATGCATGTATGTATACATGTATATAAAGCACAACCTGAAGATGGCTCTTGACTTGGGCTATGCTAAGTCCCTTGATGTTCATCAGTTGAAGAACCAACTTTGGTGTTGCCCCTGTTCCCATCAAAACATTAAAAAACCAACCAATAAATATCAACAACAACACCAAAACAAAACCCTAGAGAATAGATCTCGATATAATTAAAATCTAAATCTTGATCCTTAATTAGTACAAAACTTAACTATCTTGGCCTCCCAATCTCTCCACGGCATGAACAAAGCTGAGATGGAGCTCGGGGGTCCACCGCAACCTTGGGGTCTTTGACCGGTTGTACGGCCTCACGGATCCACCGAATTTCTTGATCTTAAGACGATGACTCGAACATTCTTCCACATAGCTATTATTGCTTGATGAGCTTTGGTGATCTTCTTTAGGTTCTGCCTCCTCTTCTTCTTCTTGGTTGTTATCCTTAACTCCTTCTTTCTTGATGGTTTTGCAAATGTTAGATGGGAAATTCTTGGAATTTTCAGAGCTTTTGGTGTTTGATGTCATCTTGTTCCCTAGCGATTTGGCTGGTTTGGGGTTGTTGTTGTTTGTTGTTTTCGGTGTGGTTCCTGTTCTTTGACAAGAAAGGATCAATCAAGACACACACACATATATGTGTTAGGAAATTAAGGTGATGACTTTTGAAGGTCTCTTTGTATGACTTTTTGGATGCTTGTATCATTCCTCTCTCTCTCTCTCTCTCTCTCTCTCTCTCCCTATCTATCTATCTATCTATCTATCTATATACACACACACATAATACACCTACGTTGAAAAACCGAGATGGGGCTGCGTATATTCAAATATTATCTTATTTTGAATTTACTAATATGGAAAGGTTTAGATTTACCCCTAAGGCAAAACACATTCTTTTACTTTTGTTAGGCAATATCATCATCTAACCTTATAGATTTCATATTTCAATACAATAATTATAGGAAATAAATATATCGTTTCTCATCAACTCTCTCTCTCTTTTATTTATGAAATGTTACGTGTATATATATATATATATACCCGGCAAAAGAAACATGCACGAGGTATATCCAATATTATTTTAAATTCTCAATAAATTTTGATGATGAAATAAGTTAATATAACTTTCAATATGGGTTCCCTTTGCTTTTCTTGACAAAAAATGAAAAGTTTTTAGCCTTCATACCCAAAAAAAAGAGAAGAAAAACACGTGAAGTTTCAATGAGAAAACAAAAGGGCATTAATGAGACGTGCATGTTTGGTTAGAAAGGTAAATCATCAAAAGGCTCGTGCGAAAATCACACGACACGAAATGAAATGTCATCCAAATCGTTACAACTCAGAAATTGATTGATCAATGGAGTAAAAATGATATTGGATTATGCAGCACTAACATTTGGGGGGAAAAATAAATAAAAAGTGGATGGTTAGGGTTATGGTCTCGTGACTTCAAGCTGTTCAACAAGAAGAACCTTAAATCCTTCATCTTTTGGAGAGAGAGAGAGAGAGAGAGAGAGAGGAACATGTGCTTGGAAGAGGAATCACCAGTGTTAAAGGTGTTGGGCTGTCTTCATTCACAGACATTAGAAGAAAATATTGCTACTTGGTGTTTTCTCACCAATGACAATCACGGATTTGTCTTCACGTCCACTACTCTTCATCTTTCCTACACACGCACACATGCTTGTCCCTCTGATCTGAATCCCCATTTTGGAAACCCTTTTTTACAATTTATTTGCTTTACAAGAAGGAGCCCAAACTCTTAAATTAAGATCTATGAATTCTTATTTACAAAAAAAAAAGATCTATGAATTCTTGAGATACTTTTATCAGATCGATTCATTATATCAATTTCCAAAGGTTTGATATATATTTCACTTGTGATATACATACGAATACGATCTATATGATATTCATATATGCAAGAAAACAAAATTTTCGTTGTAAACGATGTGTAATTATTACTCATTCCGTTTCAAAATAATTGTTGTTTTAAATTATTTCATATTTTTTAAGAAAAGAGATAAAAAATCACATATACCCTTATTTAATAATAAAAATAATGTTATCATTAATAATTTATTGGAATTTGATAGGGATAAAATTGGAAACTATTGTAAAAAAATGTTTTGAAAATATAGAATGACAAATATTTTGAAACATGGAAAATAACCTAAAACTACAAATATTTTGAAACGGAGGGAGTACTTATTAACAATGCAAATGTTTGGCTGTGATGAAATAAGATATTTTCCAAAGTCAAATTAATTAGGTATACATTTTTCAATTCCAAAGTATATTTTTTTGGACGTATATTCTAATGTCCCGCGGTAATGAACCTTAGCCTCTGTTTATTATTTTTGTGGGAAGAATTAAATTGCCCGATCCGATTGATTTCTCTCACAATACAATATATAATTAGACCGACGTTTCTAAATATCCTATTTTTTTTCGGCACGTAATAGGATCGTTTATATGGTCAAACTAGATAAATAAAATCCTAATTCCATTATATATAGTTAAATGATAAGCATAAACATCCTCCGTTGAAAACCCAGACTCACTGTTTTCCTTGACTATGTCAATACATAAGAATAAATCAAATTCTTACACTTAACTATATCCAATTTGTACGTTCGATTATCTAGTTATATATATATATATATATAGTGGGCTGGTGAATATAATCGAAATTGTCCGGTAGACCAAGAAATTCAAATCGGTTCAGTAGGTTTGAAGCAACTGATTCAGAGGGAATATAAGAATAATAAAATCAAACTGCATTAATATACGTGAATGATTATTCTATAAGGAAGCATATATTCGAAAAGATCAATAAAATAATATTAGGGTTTGTACGCATTCTGCATGGGGTTGCATGCATATAGCCAGCAACAGCTACACAAGGGTCCGCCTTGTGGTCCTACTACAATTTTAGATATGTTGGAACTTACAATTGCAAATATAATATAACTTTTTTTAATTGTACTTCACAAGACAAAAGTGGTGTTGCATTTTTTAATTATATATAAAAAGCGAATAAAGTTGGACCTTGTCGCACGACCGTGAATGCGTCGTGGAATGTAGGTTTGCTTGATCTTTACAAATCCGGAATTCTGTGGTTACAGAATAAGTCATATATATGTATATATTACCAAGTGTTTTGTTGTTAACTTATTATTAAGCATTTACATAAACCATATAAGTATTTCGCCTATTTTAACATAAAATTATTACTTGATTCTGTGTATTTTTATGCGTCGTATTAAAAAAAATTGTACACGAAATGATAAAGAAGTTTATCAGTAATTACACACAAAAGTCGATTCTCAGTTTTATAATGTGATTTTACTTGGGCATTTTTTACCAATATCCATTAGGAAAATCGGTCAATTAGCAACTAATATGTGGATTTTTTTTAAAAAAAATTAGTTTTCAATTTAATCGATTTAATAGTCAAATCTTAATATATATATATATATATATGGCTTAGACTTTTTTTGCAGTCACATCAACAATTTATGTGACCATGGATTGTTATTGATTAGCTTTTGCTAAATCAGTAATTTTATTATTTTTATATAGACAATGAAAAAGAAACAAAAAATATGTTTATGTTGGATAAATTGAAAAAATTATAATCTTCGAAACTCTACTCTCTTTTTTTTTCATAAAGGGAAATAGAGATAATCATAAAAAAAAAGTCCGGTAAAATTGATTTGTCGCATGGTGTAATTTTTATCATAAATTTAATTTTTTCTCAATTTTTATTTTTTTTTTATCGGAAATCAAAAGCATTTGGAGAGGAAATAATTTTGATATATTGTAGATAGAAGATAAATTGGGGAATATTAAATGATATGGTATAATATGCCCGGTATTTCAAACTATATAATACCCTAACCATACCCATAAGAATATGCCCGGTATTTCAAACACGCATGTCCCATTCGACAGGCAATTTCAACAACTACCAAACGTTTATTTCATTAATTATGAAGCCGACAATTCATTAGACACACAACCATTGGTTAAAGATAAGGAAATTCACGTTATCCATGTTAACAAAAGAACAGACGATTAAATCAATCGACACATTAAACCGAAATTACAATAGACTTATTATATTCAGTAATAACATCCAATACTATTATATTATCACTAATTAACAGCAAACAAAAATTTGAGCATTTCGATTCCATACACGTCTGGTTGACAGCCAAGATGGATCAGATTCACCAGATTCCAGGCAGTGTTTATGTACACTAATACGCATACATGTATGTATGTATGTATGTATGCATGAATATAATATATGTATGGTAACAACACACACATGCAGCAACTTATAATGGATTTTACGAAGCTATGAAATACTTACAGTTTTACTTGTGAGAATCGATTTCACGCCGTCGACATCACCTCCAGCTCCGCCCACCAGAGAGGCGACAGTTTCGGGGCGGCGTCCTCGGGCGATATCCCTGTGATCTCTCTCAATCTCGCCACGACGTCTCTCATCGTCGGTCTCTCTCTCGGGTCGGTCTTGATACAAGATTTGATCACTTCACCTATCTCCTCTATCTTCCCGTCGAAAGATTCCAGCCTTGGATCTGCCATCTTGCTTAGAGTCTCTCCCCTCGAGAAATCCGAGATCCCGCTGTCTACTGAGTCGTCTTTGTTAACTGAGTCCGGGAGTTTTCCGGTCATTATCTCGAAAAGCAGTACACCGAAGCTGTATACGTTGTCTTCAGGGGTTGGGACCGAGACCTGTGTATCAATGAGAGCACTGGAGCTATTCTCTTTCGCCGACGGGCATTGTTGATTCCCGAAGCTTAAATCAGCGACTTTGACGGCGTAATCCTCCATGAGCTGAACAGTCGATGAGAGGAGGTAACTGTGGGCGACAGGTGGATTGAGTCGGTGAATATAGTCGAGACAATATGCTATTCCCATCGCTATTCTTAGCCGCATTCCCCAGTCCAAGTGTTCAGATTCTCTAACTGTAACAAAAATAGCTTCCCTTTCAGGTCATAGAGAAGATAAGCTAACTAAGCATTAACGGAAAAAAAAATATTAGCTTGTTTATGTTTATAGTGTGATATGTGTTTCTGTATGTATTCTGAGTTTGTACTTACAGTGTAGATGCTCGAAAACCGATCCGTTTGGAGCATATTCAAAGACCATCATCCTAGTGAAAGGGTTATCTTCTTCACAGTACCCGAGAAGGTTTACGAAATTCTTGTGGTTTGTCTTCGATAACGTTTCGATCTGAAATTTGTACAAAACAGAAATGGTAAGGAGACCGATTGCCACAGAGGACGGTGCTATGAATCAAAGGAATAAGAAATAGGCGGACGAGAAATTACCTTCTTCCTAAACTCCATTTCTACATTGTCCTTCCAGTCTTTGGAATACATAGCAGTAACAGAAGCCACGGCTATTTCTACCCCACTCGATAATGTCCCTTTGAACAATGTACCGATGGGGCATGATCCAATTACATTACTGAAATCTTCACAGGCAGCTTCAAGCTCGGATCTTTTGAGTTTGGGGACACCTGAGTATTGAATGTGACTCGGTTAATATGTAAACCAAAAAAAGTTTGGCAGTTGAGAAGCATTCTACACACAATCAGAAAATGTGCTCGGTCCTGCTCACATTACTCTATATATTGCGCCAATGAGAAAGAATACTCACCGGTTACGAATGCTTTCTGAAGCTGTCCACTAAGACCTGTACGCCAAGGATTAACAGATTTTCCGGCCTTGCTTCTGAAAAAGAATACACCGGTAGCTAAGAGGATCAGAAAAACAGCGGCGCCAATGCAGCCGACTACTATAGGAATCGTGTTGTTGTCTGAAGAAGACGGAGCACTTCTTGTGCTGGAAGAATTTGTCTGGGGAGTTTCTTTCATGCGAGGCACAGATGGGGGTGGAGCAGAAACATCTTTAGACATTGGAACAGATTCCATTGCCATTGGTGTTGGAGAAGGTGGCGGAGACGAAGATGCCGGTGGTGTGACAATTGCTGCAGAACGGTTTCCAGACAAAGCGGCGTATGGGTTAAAGAAACGGTGGGAGAGTAGTTTCCTGTGAAAGCCAACAGCACTCCTACGAAAATAAAAGGAGAATGAAATCAGGATTAGACACACATGGAATCGAAAAAACGATACCAAATGGGAAACAAAAAAAAAACAACAATACTAAAATGATCGTGAATCGAACAAATTTAAGCAAAATTTTTAAAGGTACATACAGGTACCAGATACGAGATTATCCTAATGCTGGTATCATGGAGATTTCTCCACGCAAGAGCGGAAGCTCGTGGATACATCATTCAAGTATTGAATAACTCAAAAGGCCTCCAATATTTCTACATTTCTAACAGCTCGACTATAGAGATCAAATCTAACAGCTCGACTACATTTCTATTGATGTGCAACAAATTCATTTGCAACCCCTGTTTATAAACCCTCTGTTGGGAATTCATTGTCCAGAATTCCCAATACCATCCATCATATGTAAAGCTTGTTTGAAGAATCAAGAATCATCAGATCTTGGCAAAGAATTGTTAAATTTCCAATTTCATTCAAGTATTTACTAAGATTCAGCAGAAGCAATAACACCAAAATGCGCCTTTTGCGAAGCACAAACCTAAATGGATGACGTCAAACCTCAAGGTCGGCATAGATCTTAATTCAACGAAATACCCGTTGAACTTTTCCGAGGAAGTACAACAAAAAACACAACAGATAGGCACTCAAAACCTTCAGCAACCAAAAATCAACCAAACATGCCACTTACGAATCCGTCGCTAGTCTATCTGAACACAGATCAATTCCACCGTCGAGATTCTTCCAAGCCGATGACGAGGAAAATGACCCTTTCACCGCCATGGCTTTGCATTTCAGCAAATCTAAACCTAGAAACCGAAGGAGAACACAGTAAAAAAAGGTAAATTTTCTCAGGGATTTCCTTCTGTTTCTAGGCAACCAAATAGACAAAAGGAAAATATCTCTACCTTCATCGTTCAACGAAGAACACGAACCGAAGCTGAAAAGCACAAAAATCGCCATAGAAAAACACATCCGGAGCCTTAATCGAACGGATTTCCAGTTTTCATCCATCACGAGACTAAGTAGACGAGAAGGAACAGGAATAAAGGAGATGAACGCCGAGTCAAGGAAACGCAGAAGCTAATCAGACCGAGTTCGATCTGAAATCAAAGCGGAAGACCAGAAAAATCAAGAGGAAACTGATGGAGACGAACAGCGGGAGCTCTGAGTTCGCATGGCTGAGCAGATGACTTCTCATCCTTTTTTTTTCTTTTGTTTTTTTTTAACGCGTGTGCCGTGCCCTGGCCGACGGAGAACTAGTAAGCGAATATTCAAATAACGAAATCCATTTTTTCTAATAATAATAATAATATTAATAACATGAATATATAAATTTAGTTCGGAGGTTTTTGACCCAAAGGACTTTAATTCAGTAAAAACAAAGTATCACATTAAAGTAAAAAAAAAGTATCAAATTGGAGCTAAAGATCAAATACAATAAATATGTAGATAATAATAATAACTTTTGCAAAAAAAAATATAATAATATGGTTTTTAAAATATTTATCTCGATGAATAGCGAGCAAGGTGTTGGACCAATCAGCCACGTAATATGACTGTGATCTGTGGGAATTATTGGAATTGAATTATTATTATTGTTATTTTCTGTAACGTAACATAAGTTGAATTATTGTATTTTTGGATGATAAATATGCCAAAAAAAAATAAGAAATGAATGGTGGCGGGGTGAGTTTCTGCTGACTCGTTCAACGTGGGGGTTGGGGGTTTGCTTCCATGCGACTTTCGTCGAGTGGAATTTAATTTTCTCCACGTGGGATTAGTCGTGGGAAAAGGCCCACCATCTAGCTCTCTAGACGTCGTTAGACGTTGGCATTTCGGGATTCAGTTCAAAATTTTAACGTTTCGATTCGAGAACGATTTGTTAAGTATTCTAAAATTTGTATTAAATTAATATCATATATTATTCGGTTCGTTATTAATCACGGTTTAGAACAGTACGGTTCTAATAAATAAATACCAAATAAAAACCAAATTAAAAACGGTTCGGGATTCGGTTCGGAACGGTAGATAATATATTTATAATTCATATAAATAAAGAAATCTAACATAATAATTTAATTTATAAAAAATAGACAGAGAGAACTAGGGGTGGATAATTTGGGTCGGGAATTTAGTCCCGAACCATACCTAACGGAACCGAATCCTAATTAATCGGTTCGGTATTATATAAAAATTTCCAACGGTTCAGGAACGGCTGGAGTTTTACGTATGAATTATTCTCGTCCAAGAGTATTTACCTATTCCTATAAAGCTCGTCTTTATTGACCAAATAGACAGGTCCACGGGTTTAAAACTCGACCACTGTCTTATGAAAATATTCATCCATATTACGAAACCTTTAAATTGCATTAGAAAAAAAAAACCCACAAAACCCTAAACCCTAACCGGTGAGGATCGAGTTACGTATCTGTTCTACGTTCCGTCACATACCAATCTATTTTTTTTAAACTGAAAAATATTAACTTAATTGTAAAACAAAATAGGTTCAGAAATCGTATATATGCTATCAGCCTAATTTATATTTTAATTATTTATTTATTTTAGTATAAAGCTTGTGAATCGTGAAAAAGAGATAATTCTATAGCAAATTTGCATTAATATTTGATGGGTTTTTAAATTCTGAATTCCAGATTTGGTTCCCAATTTTCAGGGGATGAATAAGAATAACAAACAGATAAACTAACTGTTTCGCCGCAGGTTGGAACTCGTCGGTCCATGTGTCTGAATAAAATAGGCACCGCCATGTAAACGGATCTTGAATTCTTATTTATTTATTTATAAAATAAATAGTTTTATTCCCTCAGATGAGTATGTGTCGTATACATTAAAATAAAATAAAAAAAAGGTTTGTTCACACCCATTATAAAAAGAATTTATAAAACTATATATTAATTAATGCAGCAAACACTTAAATTTCACAAGAAGATGATGTCAGAACCTCTTCAAGAGCTTATCCTAAATTTACAGTGGGTTTAGTTTGGCAGGATTCAAAAGAATAATTTTATCACGAGTATATAGACACTTCGAGTTTAAAAAAACTATAGCTTGACAAAAATATTAATACGTTTAAACTATATTACTAAATCAAGTTTTCAAAATCTTAGTGTTGCATATATCAATTTTATTATAATTTATTAGGATCAAATACCTGTATTACACAAATCTCTATGTTATAGTGCAGACCCGCCTCTTGTTAGGATATAATTTAAAACTCCTATAAACATAATTCTCCACTATAAATTATAATCTGTTTCCTTTATGGATATAGTAGAGAGATATATACAAGAGAGGAAAAAATTTAACTTCTATAAATGTGGTTGCTTTAACCAAAATATACTAAAAAAGTGGCTATTGAACGGCAATCATCATCATCATCATCATCATCATCATCATCATCATCATCATGAATTGGGTGTATAACATTTTTTTATGGAATGAAATGATCGAATGCTAGTTTACATTGGATGAAACTGTAAGATGTTTCACAAGCTTCTCCAAAGATGCTCTCATTGACTATATAGTATACAGAACCTGCGTTTCTCCCCCAAGATTCCGGTTTACTAAACCGATGGACGTTTCTCCCCCGAAGATTCCGGTTTACTAAACCGATGGACGCCAAAAACCCTTGTGACCAACCAGAAACCGGGCATTGTAAATCTTCATCGACCAGTGTAACGAACCGAATACCCGTTCAAGCTTCTTCATCGCTTCCATGGTGTCTTGCACCACAAGGTATCCTCCCGGTCTTAGTATCCGATCCATCTCTGCCGCTACTTCTGCAATGTCACACCTATATGATAGGATTCAATGGCCGGTTTTCATCATATAAACCGGATTCGGGTTAAGTTAACCATGATGACAGGCACAATCCAAAGAACTAATCAGATGGGTTCAATCCGGATTGAATTTGCTGGCTCAGAAACTGTATCTTCTAGATTCATAGATGGAAATAACTGGCATTGAACTCGAGGAAGAGCAAGGAAAGATCCATTATTTACCTTTGTGTGAGATTTCCGAGGAAATAACTGGAGTGAAGTAGATCGTATGTTCGAGGGTATGTGTTGAAAGACTCACACCAATCATGGTAAACCCCGATCAGCCCTCTATCCAAAATGACAGATAGAGTGTCTGGTGCATCGACCGGAACCACATTCATCACCCATAGAGGTCGTAGTATAAGTGAAGCAGCAAATCTATCAGCAGAAAAACATGAAACCCTGATCAGTTTTAGTAACGATGACATGGATGGAAGCCAAAACAATGTGTGTTTTCAGTCATTTACCCTCCATAACCGGCATTCATGTCCATCACATTCCGCACTTTCGACCAGTTTATGTCTAGACCTTCAAGATAAACATCGGGCACAAGTGCTAGCCATCGTTCTGTATCTTTGTGAAACGTTTCTTCTTCACCTGAAAAGCTTGGAGGTTTGCTGGTTAGCCGTTTGGGCCATGATTCGGGCCACCTGTACACATTCCCGCTGCTGTCAACTGGAAGTCTGGAAATGCATCGGGCTAGAGGAACATACCTGAATTTTTAGAAGGGATACACAATCTTAGAATATACGCGTGGGGGTTTCTGTATTAGATGGCAAGACAAATTGGATGAAATGCAAGAGTTTATACCATGAAGCATTGAGTTTGTCTTTCTGATCACATAGAGGTGGATCTTGTTGGCTGCGCCTGTTATAGCACACATCTGAGGTTGGCTTCTGATAGATTATAAGTCCGATTCCTGAGGAGTCAACCGTTTTGGTGATGACATTCCAGCACATAGCTTTTGTCAAAGAAACCATCACTGCAACAAAAATCGGAAGAAAAACCGTATTTGCTTAAATCAGCTAGAAAACACACTCAAGAACCAAAATGAAGCAAGTTAAAGGATTGATAACCATTCCAAACGTTACGATCTCTCTCATCATCACGATAGACCGGAGTTGCAGACCATATGAAGAATCCTCCTGGCCTCAGTATCCTGTTCAGCTCCAACAACGGTTTCCCACCTAAACAAAGAGGGCCATGCACTAAACTCAAAAAAGCCCATGAACCCTAAGAAGTGGATGCTAAGAGGGAAAATGATATTATACCGTCGGCTTCCCAGTGCACTCTGCATCTTGCGCAATGGATGAGATCATACGAGTTGCTGGAGAAAGTAAGCTGTTGAGTCCCGATGACGGAAAGTATAGCAGGTATTCCTCGTTCTAGCGCAAACTGAATCTGAGCTTCGTGTTCATCCTTGGGGGCAAGCGACATGGTAATAACGTCCTTATCCAACAAATACCCACCAAAGCTAGCAACTCCACAACCGACATCTAGAACAACCCGGATGTTTTTTCCCCATTTTATAGCCGGTAAAGCCTGTTAATTCACCCACCACATAATACATACCGGTATCTAGAGTGAACTAAAATGGTGCAAGTAATGTGATAAAAGAAGCAAGAGCTAACCTTCTCTATGAACTCAACATAATGAGTAACCCCATATTTGAATTGGGTGCCTCCTCCAGGGAAAACTAGATAATCACCAGATTTTCGGACCCAGTTTTGTTCCTTCTTGTACTCAACAAGCTTGGGGTGAGGGACATTGCCGTACCATATCTGGTCAAGAGTGCGAGGAAACAAATCAAGAAATGTTCCAATAACTAGAGATTCTCAGCGGATCATGCACAAGATTACTAATTCATGCATAACATAAAAGTTCATCAGCACAGGTGTTGAAAGAACCCTAAGTGGTGGCTCCAAACTCCTCCTACTACAATCTTATCCTAGGAAGAATCTACAATGGTTTTCCAAATAGAAAAACACTGTCGGAAGACGAACTCAATGGTCCAATAAACAAGATTCAAGTAACAGATAACCCTCTGAAAATGGACTTAACTCATTCCCTAATACAGGAACTCGGATATCACTTCGAACTACTAAACAGATCCCATACTCTGCATGGAGACTTCTTCCTTCGATGAACTTGTAAATCTTAGCAAATCCTACCCACAAATCCAGGTCATCGTAGCAAGAAATTTCGGCTAACAAACACATCCCGTGCGAATCTACCAAACATAACTAAAAAAAGCAGCAAACCAAATCTTACCAAAAACAAAAACATGATCGGTCTCTCACCATGTCCCTGCTCTTCGGCCACGGAACCGGCTGTTTATAATTCTCCGGAAAAGGCACGAGACACCTCGGACTAGGGTCGGGGCAATGCCGTTCTCGGTGCTCCATATGCTTCCTTGACTTCAGCTGCTTGATCGCGGCGTAGTTATCCAAACACGGTATATAATCCGCCGATCCAGCCCCTTTGCATAAATCCCACTTCACCTCGAAATCGGACATCGATGCATTTTCCTTCTTCGGAGAAGTTCCGGGAACTGATTCGGAGGAGGAAACACCGTAGTTTTTGGGATTTGGATTCAAGGGATTTGATCGGAGACCGGATGAAAGAGAAGGGAAGGGGAATCGGGCGTTGTCGGAGGTGAAGATGAAGATGGTGACACCGAGGAGAAGGGTTGAGAGGAGTACAACGACGACATGCTGTACGGACATCGCCATTGAAGAGGATCAGAGAGAGAGACGCGGTTCAAGAATCAAGGGGAGAAGAAAGGTAAGTTCGAAAAGTCGTTGTGAAATTTGACATTCGCTTTAGCCCAAAAAAAAAAAAAAGGTTCGCCGTAGATTAAGAGCTTTGATATTTCCTTACGGCCAAACCGCACCGACAGAAATAAATACTCATTCTGCTATTCCGCGGTCAGGAGTCCATAAATCTCTGTCGGGAAAAAAAATAATAAAAGAACTTATAATAGAATTTAAATTTAGCAATTATTCTTTACGGGATGTTTTATTTTTGTTATTCCTTTTATCACAAACCAAACGGCTCTTAGAATTTTGGAAATATTTCTGATAATGATCTCCGGAAGCCATGGTTATCTTATATGGCGAAATAATATAATCGGCGTCGGTATTTTTTCTGAGAAATATAAAGAAAAAAGAAACAGTGTATGAATGCAGAATGGTTCTTTTGTGGGACAACCCAAAAGCTGCCAGTGGAACGAACAAAGGAATCACGTGCACGTTTTTGTTACTTTTTGTATAAAAAATGACACGATATTATTTGCACCATTCGCTGCGATACTAATTAGAGAATAAGAGAAAATATAATATTGAATCTTTTACATATTTCTAATATATAAATTTTTCTATATTCTCTATTCTATCCAATGGTCATGGCTGACGTGATTCACTGAACCAAGATAAAGTCTAATTAGATATAAGGTCCACAATAAAATACAAACGATAACATATATTCTAATTCATCATTTTCCTTTTTACCCTTCTAGTCCCTCAATTTATTTCAATGATCAAAGAAAAATATTAAAAGTTTAAAAGTTGCAAAGTCATACCCTTTTCTCTTGTCAACACTTTCCGAGTGTAAATTAAGGACGCCAGAAAGTTTTCTGGGCAAAGAGAAAGCGGTTGACTTTATGGAGATTGGTTGACCATTGAAGAGACAAGAGGATAGGGTTTAGCTTCTGGAGCATTTCAATGGTGTCTTGCACCACAAGGTACCCTCCTGGTCTCAGTACTCTGTCCAGTTCCACTGCCACGTCCACCAGATCGCACCTGATCAAAACCCAAAATCCAGATTAGATAACACCACCAAAAACAAAGACAGCAGTTTTCTTTCTGTCCTTTTACCTCTGAGAAAGATTGCTGAGAAGGAAACTGGAATGGAGGAGATCATAAGATCTTGGGTAAGTGTTGAAAGATTCGCACCAGTCATGGTACATTCCAATCATCCCTCTGTCGTAAATTATGGATAGTGTATCTTCCCCTTCGATAGGAACCACGTTCATTACCCAGACTGGCCGGTCCATTAGAGCGGCCCCGAATCTGATACACGAGATTGTTATACTGTAAGTTCCCTCAAATGTTTCATATCGAAAATGCGTGCATGATCAGTTTTTTTTTTTGCTCACCCGCCATAACCAGCGTTCATGTCCATAACGTTACGGATCCTCGTCCAGTTAATGGATGAATTGTCTATGTAGAATTCCGACACGATTTCAGACCAACGTCTCGTGTCTTGTCTGAAAATCTCTTTCTTGTTTGGGTCCTCTGAAAGGCTAACTGGCGGTTCGGTTAGCCTTGCGGGCCAAGGCAGAGGCCATTGCATTTGTACTCCTGTTTGAGTTCTTGGAAGACAGCTGATCAGAGGAGTGTACCTTAGAATGCAAGAAAAAACGATAAGTTTTTGGAGTGAATTCTGCTGCTCGGTCCGAATGAAAAAGGGTTGTACTGTTTTTTCACCATGAACTGTTCTTCATCGTCTCTTCTTCTGTGCACAAAGGCGGATTGTTCTCCTTGCGGTTTTGATAGCAATAATCTGATTCCGGCTTCTGGTAAACCACGAATCCGACGCTTGAAAACCGGGTTTTTGCCACTACTTTCCAGCATATAGATTTCGTCAACGACTCCATTGCTGCAAGAAATTTACAGTAAGAATTCGTATTTATCCTGTGAGCTGATAGTATAACAAGAAACAGAAACTACTAACTTTGCCAAACATCCAGGTGCTTTTCGTCGTTCTTGTAAATCGGGGTTGCAGACCATACGAAAAATCCTCCGGGGCGAAGAATCCTGTTGAGTTCAAGTAGAGGTCTCCCACCTGAAAGATGATTCCGAGAGTAATAAAGCATCAGAAAATGAAATTTCATGTAAAGATCCTCATCACCCATATACGGTGAAGTACCGTATCCGTGCCAATGAACTCTGCATCTGGCGCATTGGATAACATCGAAAGAATTCCCAGGGAAAGGTAGCATTTGTGTTCCGATGACAGCAAGAGTGGCGGGAATTCCGCGTTCTAAGGCAAACTGAATCTGAGCTTCGTGTTCGTCTTTAGGGGCAAACGACATTGTGATCACATCTTTCTCCAGAAGAGTCCCACCAAAGCTGGCAACTCCACAACCCACGTCTAGTGCTACTCTAACATTCTTTCCCCACTCAAGAACCGGTAGAGTCTGATACAATAAATCACTCAGGACAGAAACATGGTAATCAGAGAAAGAGAAATCGAAATGGAGGGTTGTTTATTAGATTCATGATAGTTCTGTGTTTATAATAATACCTTTTGTATGAAGTTGATGTAGTGAATGACACCGTCTTTGAACTGAGTACCGCCACCAGGGAATACAAAGAATGACCCAGATTTGCGTACCCAGTTCTGATCTTTCTTGTATTCGACGAGCTTTGGGTGGGGAACATTGTCGTACCAAATCTAGAAAAAAAAAACAAGAATCGCTCAGGACACAATCATCAATCAGTTTGCGATCTCGAACTACAAAAACATGTCAGAATCAGTAGAAGGAAACACAAAAGAAAATCTTACCAAAGAAAAGGGAAGGAGACTCTCACCATGTCTCTGCTCTGAGGCCAAGGAAGGGGGATCTTATAGTGTTTGGGCAAGGGGACAAGACATTTTGGAGGAGGAGAAGGGCAATGTCTCTCCCTGTGTTCCATATGTCTCCTTGACTTTAGTCTCTTTATGGCTTTCGTGTTATCCAGACACGGAATGTAATCCGTACTCTCGCATCTTCTCCATCCCACGATCATTCCGTTTCCGAGCTCATCTTTTCCTCGACCATCAAAATCGTCCAGAGACTGAGTCACTGGTGACTCGTTGAGTAACGAGTCATTGGTGGGTGGTTCATCTGTTCCCTGATCACCATCCTTGCCGTCTTGAGCACGATTGACTGGTGACTCGTTGAGTGACGAGTCATAGGTCGGTGAAGCAACTGTGGCCGGAGAGGGAGATGGCCTTGGGTTGGAGGGAGAGGCGGTGGTGGAGAGGTCGGAGAGGGAAGAACGGCGGAGATAAGAGAGAGACAAGTAAGGGAAGAGATCTATCGTGTCATTGGTTAGGAGAAGAATGGTTAGTGATACGAGCAAGATCGATATACCAAATATGAAAGAGAACTTCCTCTCTTGCAAGTTGTTCGTCATTCTTTTATCTCTGACTCGTTCAGACAGCAATGTTGTCTGTTCAATATCACAAAACAAGACAGAGAGAGGGCGATGATGTTGCTAAAAATAGAAAGGAAATCCTGAAAACCCTCTTCTCTGATATAAATAGTATTTGTACCATATGATGATAGAACATAAGGCCACAAAAAACTTTCTACAGCCGTTGTTATAAAGTTTCGAAAAGAAAAAAAAAACTCATTTCTTTTCTTGGAAGGTGAGTGGTGAAAAAATCAGAGAAATCTATCTTCAAACGTGAATTAGGGAATCTTACTCAGTGATTTCAGTGACTGCATCAACATCAGCATCACCCAGTCCTGTGTATTCTTCTTCTTCTTCCTCTTCACTGTCTTCATCGCCACTAAATTCTTCATTGTCAAGTCGTAGCCTAGCCATGTGCTCTGCCAGTTGCTTATCTTCTCCTTCACTCACCTGTTTGATACACATTCGTCCATCACACCATGATCTCAAACTCAGGCACAAGACAGAAGAGAAACTTAAGGATCTGAATGGTATGGCATTGCAAACAAGTTTTTTTTTTCAAAATAAACTCCCGAGAGAAACCTTATACTCACAGCTCTCGGTGCCTCCTCTACAGTGAGTTTGCCTTTGTGTTGCTCAATTGTTTCAGTGCAAGCTGTAATGGCCTTGTTCAGAGTTGCAATCCCTTGCTCCTGTCACATCAGTTAAAAGAATGAGAAGGGCTTGAAGATGGACACGAGCTAGCAGTTTTAACTATATGATTTGACTATAAATTTTAGTTTTTCCCGCTGAACAGTTACGGACCAGTTTGCGTACAGATAAAAGGAAAAAGACCAACTGTGTGAAGCAGAAAACCAGATAGAAGACCCCCTCACCTTGTCGAGTGTCTGCATAGTAAGAACATATAGAGGAGGAGCAACCAACTTAATCTTCACTGGACAGTCATCAGTTCCAGCAGCTTCAGCATTCCGCATGGCCTCCTGACAATTCAGACATACATGTAAGAAATCAAATGAAATTGCACTTTTTGTTGTGATCGGTAGTTTTCAACAAAAAAAAAAAAAAATATGATTCTGACCTTGATGATCAAACTGAAAACACTTCAATTCAATATCGGCTCGGATCTTCAAAGGTTATGGTGTCATTCTCCTCCTAATATTCTTTACTAGAGCATCCTTCACTTCTTCTGTCACAGCACGTACAACTTCAGTCACCTACCGCAAAGACAAAGCCAGCGGAATGAGAACCAGAAGAGATCATTCAAAGCCAACTCATAGGAAACATGAAAACAAAATGTACCTCTTGCCCATCAGGCCCAACTTCTTTAATCTCACGGGTGAGGGAATTCAACACAGAATCGGGATCCGTCACTATGATCTTGAAGGCCTGAGTAAACAGTGGAGGTTTGGGATAGAGATAATTCTACCATATTGAGGGATCTAAAAGGTACTGATTCACAAATTCTTACCTCGAAAGCATGGCCATATTTTCGGTACAAAGGCCAGCCAATATTTTATATACAACTCCTGCAAACAAGAAACTGTAAACAACAACAGAGCAAGGAGAATACCAACTAACCATACGAATCCAGAATAAGCTCCGACAAGTAATTTAACTGTTCATAGCACGAAGCCAAACAAACAGAGAGCTAAAAAAAATGAAGATTCCTACAACATAATTCGCCTATAAGTGTCAGTTCCCATCACGATTGGAATGGAACACATTTCCAAGAAAGAATGAATTCCACATATATTCCATCTAAAAATATAAAGTCAAACAGGTGTTTCCTACTTGCTCTTGTTGTTCCTCTCCTCACAGGCCTGAATATCCTCCTCACTAACCCTACGCTTGCTCAGATCAATGTACCCTTTCTCTTTGTCCACACGCAGCACCATGACAGGCTCAGTTCCTCCAACCTTGATCAGACTGCTCACACTACGGATACGACGGCGAGAGAGCTCCGAGAATAGAATCATACCTTCGATATTGTTGTACTCGAGGAGATAAACGTAGGCTCCCATGTCGGCGATGGTCTTCACCTGGATCATAACCACCATACCCACCTCCGGATACTTCGCCTCGTACATCCGGCACTCCAAATTCGGCGTATGACTCGCCATTACCGATGGATTGAAACAATCAACTTTTGGTCCCAGGAGCTGTGGTTTGGGGAGAAGCTAGGGTTTTAATTTTAAGCACAAAGAGGCGAATTGTTCGACTCGTTTTTGGCTGAGAGAGAGACCTGCGAAGAAATTGAAGAGAAGATAGATGGTAGTCGTGACTAGTCATTACAATGGAGATTTTAGTAGACTAGCCTCTGGAACGACGCCGTTTGATCAAAAGCTCAAAAAAATAGTTTGTATCAACGCCCACCGTGGGGCTCGAACCCACGACCACAAGGTTAAGAGCCTTGCGCTCTACCAACTGAGCTAGACGGGCTTTTGTTAATGTCAAATGATAACCATTAAAATTCATATGACTCGATTTGTGCCGAATGCATCAAAACCAGTGACTTGCTTTTTTACCACATAGCATGGATACCATACCATAACTGGGATTCGAGAACTGACAAAAGTGTCTATCACAGTTTATTCAGAAACGAGGTATTCCACTCTGACAGAGCAAGTTCCAAAAGAAGAGATCAAACTATCAAAACCCCGCCTGACTAGCCTTGCAAGTTCTCTTCTGCAAGGGGAAGAAACCCATTCTTCCACGTGAGAAATACCAAACGAGAAGTTGTAAAACTAGCGTGGACCTTCATTCTATTTCAAAAAAAAAAAAAAAAAAAAAAAACAAGAGCTCGGTATGATCCTTTCCTGATCCAAACAGCCAACTGTATAGTGAAAACAACTTACTCGATGCCGGCTTCAGCTTAGGTCCATCAGTCTTAGCATTGCATAAAATGTCAAACTCATGCTTGAGATGAGGCGCTACTATTCTTTCCTGTAAACAAGCCAAACGAATTCATAAACATGGAGATTTAATGACATGCCTGGAAAATTCTGAGGGAAAAATGCCATGCCTTGAAAGCTTCAAGCGGACAGAAGTCCCTTCCATCACAACCCTGACAGCGGAGAAATGATTAATTTGAATGGAAATAAAAAGTTACAAAATTGAACAAGAGAATATGGTGAAATTAGTCATCAATTCACTTCTCAAGACTACAAAAGAGTTATTTATTATATCTGTATCTGCCCATTATCATAGATCCATAGGGGCCAAAAAGTTGGGTTTGTATATTAGTTTGATGAAACTCACTGGAAGTGGAATGGGTTGCTCGTTATGCAGGACTTGCACAAAGTATTTGGCTGAGGAATCCACAGGACAGTTATAAAGGATGAGCATGTTGTTCCCAGCGAAAGGAGCCATTGTGCCGCCTCTAAAGTTTCTGCTCTTTGGAGGTTTTGCAGGGAGTTCCAACGGTTGCTCCTTTTGGATTTTCTCAAAGTCTGAAAATTTATATATTCTCATCAAGAAGCAAGCATGAAGAAGAATGTATGTCTATATGTCGGGGATTCTAAGCATTCAAAGCAGATAGACAAACCGGATCCATCGAGGAAAAGCCCGAGAAGGCAAGAAAAGGGAACCACAGTTTCAGCATGTGCAAACCTAAGTCTCGCCTTTTCATAACTTCCAGATGGGTGCTTCTCTGCATTGGTAACTCAAAAAGTGAAAAAAAAAATACTAGAATTCACATATGAGAATAACTTGCATTTGTTCTGCTTTTATGTTGTTGTTACCTTCTCGGGCCTTAATAGCCTCTTCCATAGAACGTAAAACATCCTGTAGCAATGGAACTCCCATACGGTAGTTCAAGGAATTGCCGTAACCTTTGAGGATGTACACCTCTAAGTCATCCGTCCACTCCAGCAAAGCAACCTGAACAAAAGGCATGTGTCACAGGTAACAAGCATTGAAAACAAAAGATGTCTAAAGTCTGATCCCAGACAAAAAACGTGGGCAATTCATACCTCAGACGGCGTAAAAAGTGCACAAGCTTGATCAGTTACATTCAGCAGTGATGCTTCCTGAAAAATTTTAGAATGAAGACAAGTATGACTTGCTCAAATAATTCATGATTGAGTAGTAAATAGGCCCCTAGCAAGTGAATTAACTTCTAAAAGTTTATTCAAGCTGGAAGATGTTAGCACCTGCTTGCACAGAAACCAGAGAGAAGAAATATCCTGTTTCGTGAAATTTAAAAAATTTCGCTTTGCCAAAGCCACAGAAATCTCATTCAGAACAGGTTCTTTGAGCGCATCAACGGCAGGCTCCTTAGATTTTCTGTAGGACTAATTCCACAGACCACGTAAAAAAGAATAAGCAAATAAATAACAGGATTCATATTCTAAGGAAGGCCCGTTTAATCAGCCATAATACCTTACTTCGAATCCAACAGAACCATACCTTATAGTTTTGACAACACTCGAAAAATCTCAACTTTGTATCACTCGCACGGTTTTCACTGGTGACAGCAAATGCTCTATTCTGGCCTGCTCCCAGCTTTCCTCTCCCACTAAACAACCCCATGCCAAATGCCACAGCACTTGCAGACGCACGAGGAATCTATCATATAGGATATAACAGAGAAACAGCCAGGAAAAACCCGTGGACCACAATACTTTCAACCAAGCTTCAGTGCCAACATAATCTTAATTAGATTAACAGGCGCAAAATAATAAATTTGAACGGTGACCGACCTGTGTAGCCCTTATTGTATAGACATCCGGGTGGTAATTGTCCTCAAACAGACTGGGAAATCTCTCTCTGACCCGGATTCCAAGCTGATACAATTCCTCTTCTCCTAGACTAATCAGTTCCCCACCCTTCACTTTTCCTTTCCAAGGAGATTCCCATTCCCTTAACCAGCCAGGAATTTGGCGCAACGGCGAATTCCGACTTTCTGCATCTCTTACAAGTTCCTTGAACCGAACAGCCAAATTCTCCAATTCTCGCAACCGTTTCTTGGTCGGAGAACGAGTTCCATGTCTAGCCTACACACAACAACACGACATTTCAATCCTCATTCCCTGTCGCTCATCCCGCTTTCCCAGAAAATAAAACTAAGCTTACCACAAGGTTAATATGGATGGGTGTACACTCATGCGAAACTTCTGAAGGATCGAACAGATTCTGAGAAACACCTTTCACAGCATCGTATCTACATGACGTGAGGATCAAAAGTTAATTCACTTCGTAATACTACACAGAAGTTGGTCAGTTAGCAATACAGCACGGATTTCATGACAGAACTCCAAATATACTGATTCAATTCAGAAAATAATCAAACCAAAAGCTTATTTCTGTTCCAGATTTCAGTATTCCCGGCGACCAAACAAAGAGAAAACATTTGGAGATCACGAGCAGAGAGAGAGGACCTCGTGACGGTGGAAAGGTGTTGACGAATATTGAAACCTTGATCCGCGTTCGAAACCAATAACATTGAAAACAACAAAATCCAAACGATCTCCATCTCTCTCTCTCTGGATATTCCTCCTTGGTTTGAATTCGAAGATTCTGTTTTCTGTGCAAGAAAAGGGAAGAAGAAACGCTGATAGTAATCTGGTGCTACGCGGTCTATGAAAAGAGGACCCTTAACGGCGGACACCACGTGGGGGCAGGTGATAGCATTGGGCCTATTATATGGCGCCACGTATCTGCATTCAAGGAAATTTGGGCCGTATGCATCTTGGGCCTTCAAAAAAGCCCATCAGAAGAAGAAGGAATATTTCCTTGACATCCTGGAAAGAGTCTCTTGCATAAAACTTTCATTAGGCCCAGAAGATCATAGTTTCTCAGAACAAAAACGTCTCAGTTCACTGAACAGAGAGAAATAGAATCATAAGATCATTAGCTATTTTTGCCGAGAGACGCATAACAAGTTCGAAGGATCCAGAAAAATCATGCGATGGCAGCTTGCTCCTCCAGAAGCATTTGATCGAAGTGCCATGTTCCTGAAAAGACCCACAAAACGACATCATCACCCCCACCGCGTTATTATTATTACCAAAATCTGACAAACATCATTCATATGTATGTTTTTTCTTGTTACAATGAAATCAAAAGATCCATACCGTGTCCTTTGCCGACTCTTCTGAGCTGAGCTACGTATTCTGACATCTTCTTAACGGCTTCCCCCTGCCACATGGATCCATTTTACATCCCTTGGGCTCGTTTGCCATCAAGGCAATACACAGGCGTTTATCTTAGTCGATATCATTAACACAACATAGGCCACTACTATCTGTATTCATTTACCTGCTCGCCCAGAAACTCGCTCTCCATAAAATCTGCCAATTGGACATCACCATTCTTCGAAGCCACCTGTTTCATTCTCCATAGCCAAAAAAGAAAAGTCTGTGGATGTTGAATGAAAAATACACTCTCCAAAGTGTTGAACAAGGAGTGTTGATCTTACGCTGTGCACGTTTAGGAGCTTTTCATTCGTCAGTTTCTCCAGAGACAGAGCCAACTCCATGGCTGAATCAATATGCAATTTTTTGAGTTCAGTCAAATGCATAACAATAGACAAGGGAGGGTCTTCGCATCTATGAAGCTAACTAAGATCCCGCGGTTCGAATGGCCCAAATTACATCCCAAAAGTCTATTCTAGTAGAAAATTTTGGATCTTTATAGCTTCTTACAAGCAGAATACATGACGTTAAAGATCGATGCTCTCAACTCTAACTCAGGGTCTCCAAATTCCATGACATAGAAAGCTACATATGATATGATTTCCATAAGCCTTGGATAGGTGAAAGTGGGAATATTAGTGAACTTACCATACAAAGCATCTCCTTTCTCCACATGATCGAATTCTGAAAGGGGCATCACAATCGACTGCAACTTGACCCTCCCACCGCGTTTGATCTGCAGATCTTGAAAAACGAACATGAGATGATATTACGACGTTCACAACAAACGCAGCTTCCTAACCATTCAAAAGATTCATTCGACAAGACTTCGCCAAGAACCTGATACTCCATCAACTTCTCCGCATGCTCTCTTTCCTCAACACTTGATTCCTTGAAAAACCTGTAGAAAAATACCGACTAAAATCAACATTATCAAGGACTGGAACCCTAAAAGCTTCAGCATCTCCCAGAAACTCACTTGGCGAGACCCTTAAGCGCAACGTTGTCCCGATCGAAGTATGCGTACATGGCGTGGTACACATAAGAGACGTTGTATTCCACACTGCAGCAAGAACAATCCAAGAAACTCTCAGAATAATGAAAACCCGATCTCATCACAGAATCAAACCAAAACTTTAATTACGAATTTCTTAACCTAAAACACTCCATATGATAAAGAAAGATTTAGAAACCCCGAAGAGCATAAATCAAGAAAAAGATGAAAGAAAAAGAAAAACCTACTTGATCTGCTCATTTACGGCGGCTTCGCACTCGTCGGAGTACTTCTGTCGAGCGAGCGAGAGCTGAGGAAGGGTGGGGACGAGATCGAGCTCCTTCTTCACCTCCTCGAACGGCTCGAAAACAACGCCGGTTAGTGTGCGAGTGGTGGAGCCTTTGGAAGCGCGGACGAAGAACGACTGTGTCCCAGATTTTCCAGAAGAAATCCGAAGACCCGAGGAGAAATCAGTTGCGGACGAAACGGAGGAGAGAGGAGAGATGTCCTTCCTCTCTCCGTGGATGTTCAGGAGCGAGAAAGCAGAAGCGGCCTTGAGAAGCATTCTCCCGTTCGCTGGGTGAAATTTTCTCGAGAAACAAGCAGTGCAGAACTTTCTCTCTTGAAGATTATCTTGGGCAAGAAAATGGGCGAGAGGGTTTATTTATGTGGAGGCTGAACGGTTGAGGAAATGGAAATATGGACGTGAGGCGATGGATGAATGACACGTGGACGGTTAAGATGATGAGATAGGTACAGGCGCGTGGTAGGCTCGTGGTAACGCTGCTGATCTGGGGAGATATTATCTTTAACGATCTCCGTGCAATCTGTTTTTGGGATTTGAATTTGAATAGTTAACTTTTCAACGGATATTTTTTGTTCTCAGCACAAATATTTAAAAATGTCATTATGTGTATCGCATTTATTTATTTTTAGTTACGAAGAAAATCATTAAAATGGGCTTTTTCATTTGTAATGTGGCCCTATAATTCACTTTGAAGTCTGAAGTTAGACCCAGTTTAATTGGGTTGGGCGGAATGCTGAGTCAAAGAGAGCCCAATTCATGGACAAAATGACAATTCTAGCCCTGGATACCTTTAGAGAGTGGTTGGAAATATAAAACCGAACCGAAATTAAAATGGAATTTAAATTCGGCGAAACGATTTCCGATCCAAATTAATTTCATCCGGTATTGAATTCCGAATTCAATAGAACCGAATAATAAATAAAAATTTTAATATTCAATCTAATTCTGAACCAGACTCGAATGAAATCTCTGTCTTTGGCTTCGGTTTGTCTTTGATCAACCCAACTAGGGGCCGGCATTAGACTTGGTTTGTCATTTTTTTAGATTTTTTAATCTAAAAATAACAATAATAATATATATTCTACTTTTATGTCACATTTTAATTCGATTAAAATTATTTTATAGATTCATTAAAAAAATATTTATTTTAAATAAATTAATTTGGTTTGTTATTAATTCTAAAATATGAATTCCTAAACCATGATATAATCCAAAATTTAGACATACTCATCCCTGCCTATCTAATAACATGCAAATTCCTAGTCTTTCACATCTCGTTAAATTTAGACATATATGCACATATTTTATATATATATATATATATATATATATATATATATACACACGTACGAATTTGTATCCATACTTTAAGAGTGACAATATCTCGCGTTCACAAAACACAACACTTGGAAGGATTTGATAATAAATAAAATCGGATTGAAGAATCTCGAAGATGAATCCTCTATCTCTACGATGTGCAATTAATGCGTGCATTGAAACTTTCCAGCGATTCCTTTTCCACTATTGTTATTGCCGTTGTTTTATAATTCTAAGGTGACGAAGATGTCTGTTCTTGTTCTTGGCTCGTAAATTAATATATCTAAATTATCAGTATACTGCAATTTAAATAAATATTACAAAAAAAAATAACAAGAACGAATAAGACAAATTACAATGTTTGTTTGAATGATCCCAACTCCCCATGAAAGTGTATATAGCATTGCGATATAGGCTACACATTATATTTATATTCTAAGTTTTATTGTTCGATTAATAACAAAATAGAATCAATTAAAAATTCAGTTATTCTATGATTATATTATTTATACTCAGTATATATGTTGACATAGATATATAATCTAGAGCTCTCGCATAATTACAATTTGATTAGTGATGCCAATAAAAAGGGGGAAAGACCAACATGCGAACAAAAAGTAAACATTGGAACCCAAAAATAAATAAAAAGAAAACAAAAAGTGGATTTGTCGAAATAGACAGCGAAAGGAAGCATGGAATCTCGTGACGTTTCGAAAGTTTCGTGAGCGGAGAAAAACGCATTTCCAAACAAATCTCCACCTTATTATAAAACATCTTTATGCATAAAAATATATATATATATGAATGTGTGAGAATCTTGTCAGATGAAAGAAAACAGTCGCATTAATTTATTTGCAGGCAACACAGTCTCTTACAGTTATTTTCTTTATATATACATATATGTATAATGGTATAATTAAGCGCCTTTCTGCGTAATTATTTTATCGTATTCATGACAGAATATAAAGAAGAACGTGGAGACTGTATTTTTCTACATATTCGAAATAATTAAATAAATACTCTTTGTTTTATTGAGCGTATATGTAACAATACAATTAAATCAGGGTTTTCATTTGCGGCAGTCAACGTTTGATCGAATATTCATTTTGGGCTCAATGTTGTCAATTAGGCCTCCTGTGTATATATATATATATATATATATATATATATATATATTGTTCGTATGCAGAATATGTTTTTATAATTATTGAAGTAATCATTTTGCTCCAATTACTCAAGTAAATAGTTCTTGATTCACGATGATGACACGTGAATTTTCCAAAATTAATTCTTATAAACCACTGGTATCTGTGATCGATGTGTTATTTATTTCAAAGGCATTTTTCTAAACCCCGAATGGAGTATCAGAAAAAAAAAAGGAAACCATAATTAAATTGATGATTAGCAACCTAATCATGATCACCTTTTTTAAGCCCTTTTTTATTTTTAGTGCTTTTTAGAAGGCTAGGTTGAAATACAAGGCATATAATTATGGCCATGTGAAACTCGGACCGTTGGTCTTTTAAGTCTGTCCAAATGCGGGTGAGAGCAAACATCAGAATTTGAAGTTATAGAAATAATATTAAAAAAATGTAAAACCCATGAAAATTTAAACTTCTAAAATGATGGAAAAAAATTCTAAATTTTCCATTTGACAAATTTATTACCAAATTTACAGAACATATTATTATAATTTCTAAATTTAATGGATGTCATAAGAAATTTGATGTTAGTTCAAACTTCAGTTTTGAAATTATTTTCCAATATTTTACAAGTTCATAAATTTGTATGGATTTTACCTTAAAAAAATAAAAAAAAATGTTAATTTGATCTTATTGGGAATACAAAGCTAATGCTATTTTTTTATTAATTTATATAAACCAATTAAAAAGTTAATATTATTCTTAAGGATTTTGAAAACAGCAAATTTTATATGCTTTTGATGAAGGGGATTCTCAATTGGTTATGTATAACTAATAAATAAATAAGCACCTATATCAACAAAAAAAAAACCCAATAAATTACCTCTAACGACATAAATAATTAATATTTTTTTTTTTCGTAAGGAGAATTCTCCATTGCTCGCATACCTGAACCACGCTTCCATCGACCACTGGAAAATGAGACAAAAAATGGAGCCACGTGGCGCTTTCCCATTGGTCGAACATCCTACCTGCTCTGCCATAAGAAAGGTATTTCACACTGCTTCTTCAGCCGACAAGGAGGCTCGGGGGGTTCTCTCAAGTTCGCATTGCCCTCAGTTATAAATACACACACAACCCACTCCCGTATCTTCCACTTCACACACAGCAACAAAAAAGCTCTCTAAAAGCAATCTTCTCGTTCTCCACGTTCAGGGTCTCTTTCTTGATCTTTCTTCCGGTTCTTGATCGTGTCAGATAAGAATATATAAGAAGAAAAAAATTTAAAAAAAAAATGGGAGGGAATGGGAGCTCACCGTGCGCTTCGTGCAAGTTGCTTCGAAGAAGATGCGCGGAAGACTGTATATTCGCGCCTTATTTCCCGTCCGATGATCCCCACAAGTTCGCCATCGTTCACAAGGTCTTCGGTGCTAGTAACGTCAGCAAAATGTTGCAGGTAACCCAATAGTGTATATATATATATATGTAATCTTCCCGCTATATAATATATATACACGCATACGCATGTGTGTATGAAAACGTGGAAAGCTCATTTACCCAACAAACGTACATACGTATAGATAGATGTGTATGTATATATACATATATACATGTAATGTTTGGGCAAACGTGTCATATTGTGTTCTGTACTTGTATTGACTTGTAAGAGAGCGAGCTGTCTGATTTCTTCTCGTGTTGACATTAAGCCCATCACCGTTCACCACTATGCTTCTATGCCAGTGTGTATGTCATGTATAATATTTATTTCAACCAATTGTAAAACGCAGCCGTTTATCAATATTGTTTCTTATTCAAATGAACATGTATAATATATATTTATATACATGCAAATATATATATATAAATATATATATATATTAATAGTCAAGTTTATTTTTATTTTTTTATAATCGATATCCTTGGTTGGAATCTGGTAAATGTTAATTTTATATAAATTTATGTTCTTTAGAACAACATGACACTTTCTCTGTTTATAGGAGAAAAACTGATCTTTAAAGAATACATACGTTTATCTATTGTCTCTTCCAACATACATATGACATATCCGTATAAATATATGTTCTATAGAACGTATACATCCCCTTTTATATATACATATATATATATATGTGTGACATATTCGTCTCTGTGATAATGCACAGGAGCTGCCGGTACACCATAGAGCAGACACGGTGAATAGCCTGGTCTATGAAGCGGGGGCAAGAGTGAGGGACCCGGTTTATGGCTGCGTTGGAGCAATATCGTACCTACAGAACCAAGTGCAACAACTTCAGATGCAATTAGCAGTGGCTCAAGCCGAGATCCTATGCATCCAGATGCAGCACGAGCCTCTCCTTCATGCCCCAACGCTCCATCTCCCGTCCGAAGACGACGACGATAAATCGTCGTTCCTCCTTCATAACGATTTCTCTCATCACCACGACCTCGGATTTTCTCCTTCGAGCCCTAGAGACAACATTACCTTTCAGGGCTCTCTCAAGACTGAAGGCATCTTCGGACACGAAATGTTTTCCTAGGATCATTCGGTTTAAGTTATAACCATCCATCCATTTTGTCTCTTCCTTTTTCTTTTCCCGTCTCTCTGTTTGGGAAGATCGTATGCTCCATGGAGATGGGACAAAACGTTAGCGAGGCATGCGTCCAAGAATAATAACGTTAATCAAAGTCTTGAGAATCAATTATAATGTTTCTCCAAACGCTATATTGTATCATGTAACAAGTTTTACGTCCACAATCATCTATTTAGGATGAACATATTATATATTTCCGTCACTATAACGGTCCAAATGGGTTCACGGGTGCATCTTCAGAATGCCAAAAGAGTGGGCCTTTACGAGAGCAGTGATAGGAAAGTGGTAGCTCGTGTGGGGTAAGGTGTATGCACATAATGACACAAAAAGGAACATTCATATATATTTAATAACGGGTCTATTATATTGTATTATATAGATATAAAAAAATTCGAATGGTAGTAGCCACTGAAACTTCAAGATTCCTCGTGACCCTTCTTACTTATTATTGTAATAATGCATTGAACCTTTGACCTACATATCCTCGAGTCAAAATCCCAACAAATTTTCTATCAAATCTTATAGCCTTTTTTTTTTACCAAGTGGTTTTTAATTTCTGTGGTCCGTCGATATAGGCCCTAGTTGATATGAGCGAAGGAAACGGCTGTGGAGAATTTTCTAGGGACTTTAATATTGTGTTTGGTACATTTAACTTCAAACATATGGGACAAATGTATAAGGGGTTGCTACTATATTTTTATTTATATATATATAATGAAATGAGGATTGTCAATTACTCGTTAGTGGAGGGATTGTAACTCGTTAGTGGAGGAAACCACGTCTATTTTTTTTAGGGCTCGAGGAATCTCACTTGGTTTGGAATGAACAAACTGAAAAAGAAAAAGAAAAAGAAAAAAAAACATTTATTTGAGAAGACTACTCGTAAATAAATATTAATTAAGCGAATAAAGTTTTTATAGTCACTGATTTTGAAATGAACGGAGTTTTTATTGATGTAATATGAATTTAATTTTAAAATTCGGCTGGTTGTATCGCTTCGGCTGCGGTATCACTAATTAGAATATGAATATGAACATGGATACAGTTATAGAAACCTACATATTATATGTTTGTTATGGCATATACTTGAAGATGGATTAGTTATCATGGGGTCCGTATGTGATAAATAAATAAATAAATCTCCCGACTTGTGCAAAAAAGAAAACGACAATCGTATAAACAAAAAGGAAAAGGACACAGTCTACTATCGATGCTAGTTTTCACCAATTTGCGAAGGCCTTGCTTCTGTGATACGGCTACGTACAGTAGATCTTGGGATTCACATGCAGGATGCATGCATGGGATGGGACATCATGATTTTACATGCAACGTAGATTTCCAAATCTGTAGTAGATTTTCTGATTTTATATTTTCAATCTACGTGCATGCTATGTCAAGACCGTACATCAATCGTCATATTGAACGAGTGGGTGTACAAATATACGGTCGTCATATAACAGGATAATCATATATATATATATATATATGTGTGTGTGTGTTACGTCTAACATATTTTTGTTCTTGTAATTGATGTATAGATGTTGTGGATTTTGCAATTGTCGTCATCAATGGTGGTGATGCCTCATGTACGTATTTACGGTGCCTCAATATACGATGGAGGATTATATTTTTATCAATTGACTGATTATTCGACCAGCCGATTGTAACAATGAGTGTATGTTTTGGTTACGTTACGAATTTGATACTTCAATTACTTTTTTTGCGGGGTATTTATGTAAAAACTTTTTTTAAGTTTTAACGTATCATGCGCTCTTTCGATTTATAAATGCTGACATTCCGTGGACCCGCCCCAAACCCTATAGGGCCGGGCCACGTCTGATTTTTTCAAAGTCGGGGACCGTTATGGGTTGGTCTGCGAATATTTCGGTTTCAATTATTTTCCATTTAAAAAAAATTAAATTTACTTAGGTGTTGAATGGCAAAGGGTTTTGGAAGTTTTTGGATTTTAAAAACTCAAAAAATTATCAATCAAGTTTTTAAAATTTGGTTTTCCTAAAAACCAGGAAAACTACTTTATAGAAAGAATTGAACTAAAAACTAAAAGCTATATTTTTTTAGATTTACAAATCTATAAAAACCAAAAGCCAAAAAACAAAAACTAAAATCTAAAAACCAAAAATTAAATCCAAAAACTCAAAATAAAAACCCCATCCATTCAGCACCTTAATTTAGAATTCGACTTTTATAAACCATAAGAATCCATACAGAGATCAAATGTCGCTAAAAAGAGTGGGGCTTAACCATGCCAATAACTGCGACTCGAATGCTGCTAAATCTTTGAGCGGATTTATTCCCCCGAGCATTTTCCCGGTGATTTCTCTGTCTCCATCTTCGTCCAGATCCCAGGCATCGTGATGAAATCGTAGCAGCCAATCTGGAAATTCACCGCGGAAATCGAAGAGCGAAGGGGGACTCGAATAGGGGGGGGGGGGAGTATCAGTGCTCATCACTCTCGTCGCGATTCCCCACCGAGTTGACTCGCTATGCGAACTCAGCGTCGCTCTACGCAACAAGGTTTTCGATTTCAACTTGGCGTCTCCATTGCGAAACTATCCTCACGGTGTCCTCAGCGAAGATAGGTACCGTCTCCGACCCCCTTTGTCTGGGTTATTTTTCTTAAGCTTGAATCCGCGCTTCTTGTATCTGGATGCAATCAAATATTTGGGTTAGTGGAAAAAAGCTTACTTTCGTATGCGACTTTGGATAAGTAGGAAGATTTCATTGGGAACTACCGTTTGCACTTGAGGTTTCTCTTGTCGAGTTTTCAGTTTCAGGACCGAGCTTAGTCAGGGTTTGAAGTCGGAATCTTTGTTCCTAATTCTGTAAACGTCAATTGTATAATTGATATAACACTAAACGTTCTCCACTCAATAACCAGGTTTTATAGAGCGGAGACAAATGCACAGTGCTCTGGTTTCAGGTTGTCCTCTATATCACGTTACACGTCGTTTCTGCGTTTTATTGCATCTTGGTTCACCCCTGATTGGTCACACAAACCTATAGCAATATATTTTCTGTGAGCAATAGTTATACTTTGAGGAACTGGAAAAGAATTACATGAAAAGATACGAATCTTTCAACATATTTCTTTATGCTTCGAGATCTGAAATCTCCTGATACTTGTACTGCTCATTACGTTTTACATTATTCCAGCACACCATTGTGATTCGTGATTGTGTTCTTTGTAAACCTTCTTGTGAGGCAGCTTTGCGGTGTATTGATTTTCAATCATGACCCCCACGATGCGTTGGTTGTGCGGTGAGTTTTTCAGTAATTTCCAATTATACTCTTCACCAGAAAGAAATGATTTTCACTTCCAATTTAGAAATCTCACTCTCCGTTACTTTCCTTTTTTGTGACCTTGGATTGTGGAGGTCCATCACACTGTGAAACAGCATGCGGTGCACTTGTCTCGGAAAATGTAAGAGGTACAAAGATTTCAGTCATGGTAGCCTAATATGCTAATGCATTTTATGAGGCTGAATGAAACTTTCCCTGGGGGGGGGGGGGGG